CATGCTAGGACAGAACTTACTTTGCAAATGTAAAAAAAAAAAAAAATCGATCCAGACAAATAAAAACCACAAGTTAAGTAGGAGTTAGCAGTGTGTCACTGTAATTCTAAAAATTAATAAAATACTGCATTATCCAAATAAGAGAATACATATAAGGCTTAGTCTGTCACTGCATTCTATTCTAGTGGCATAATTTTTAGATTATCATATTCATTTTAAAACCCCGCATATAGTGAAAGAAACTTAAGCATACTGGATTCCAATCTTAGCTTTGCCACTAACAAACTGGCTATCTCATGGAAGCGATTAGAGGTTGGCCTTGCCCTAGACCCCTGGGAGATAAATTCTAAACCCTTAGCTAGGTGTGGCTGTTTACCTGGGAGAGTCAGGTCCACAACTCTCTTCATCACCAGAGCCTTTAAATTAAGGACATCAGACCAGAATCATACTAAAATCACCACCCGGATCTTAAATTCTTTGTTCAACAGGAAAAAGGAACATTATTAAAAATCGTTGAGGGGATCAAATCACAGTATCTTTGTATGCAAAGAGATGTTTCACAGGAGGCTGTGGGCTACCACCTGCTGATGAGCTATCACAGGGCCAGGTCAGAGGCCCTGGCTCACAGGAACCTATAGCCAAGACCACTACCTGTTCCCACGGCCTTTCTTTAGTTATAAAACCCTCATGTTAGCAGGCATGTGGCTAGAAACTACATTTCACAACCTCCCTTGGAGTTAGGTATGAAATGGGATATAAGTGGCTAACTGGATATGAGTGAGAGGAATAGTGTAGCTTCTTCATCACATCCATTCTTTTTCTCTTCTCTTTAAGGCAGTTACAGAGCTGGTGAGCTGGGGTTATTTTGTTTTGTTTTATTTCTTTTTTGAAGCAGGGTCTCGCTCTGACACCCAGGCTGCAGTGCAGTGGTGGGATCTTGTCCTGCTGCAACCTCTGACTCCTGATTTCAAGTGATGCTCCCACCTCAGCCTGCCAAGTAGCTGGGACTACAGGTGTGCACCACCAAGCCTGGCTAATTTTTGTATTTTTTGTAGAAATGAGGTTTTGCTCTGTTGTCCAGGCTGGTCTTCAACTCCTGGCCTCAAGAAGTCTGCCTGCCTTAGCCTCCAAAAGTGCTGGAATTACAGGTGTGAGCCACTGCATCCAGCCTTCAGCTTTCATCATGAGATACTAGCGGACAGCAGTGCAACATGTGCTGGGGACACTTTCCTGGTTTTCAAGTGATAAATATATTTTTTTTAATTTCGATCTTGTTTGAGCCATTGTATTTTAGAGGTTTTTGTTATAGTCACTTATCTCTGCCCTAATTGATATAGAGACTGGTACTAGGAATCAGGTGCTATCAAACAGAAACCTAAAACACATCCTAATAGTTCGTTGTTTTTGTAATAGGAACAAAGAAACAAATATTGAAAGCTAAAAGTTTGTTGACTCTTCTTATGCCATGGCAAAATATTTGACAAAGTTCTCACTTGCCTTAGCTATCTATGAAGCCCATGCTAGAAAAAGAGTTTGGGAAAACCTAGAAGATGGTATGTTTTGGCTGTTTCTTACTGAATGCTATGGCTTGAATGTTTGTATCCTTCCAGAATTCATAGGTTAAAAATCTATTCTCCGATGCGACGGTATTCGGAGGTGGGGCCTTTGGCAGGTAATTGGATCATGAAGGTGGGACCCTCTTGAATGAAATGGTGCCCTCATAAAAGAGGCCCCAGAGGGCTTGCTTTGTTTTTCTATCATGTGAGGGCACAGCAAGAAGATGCCATCTTTGAACCAGAAACTAGGAGCACACCAGAAGCCAAATCTGCTGGCTTGATATTGCTTTCAAAACTCTAAGGAATAATGTTTTGTTGTTGATAAGCTACCTAGTTTATTGTATTTTGCTATCACAGCTAAAATGGACAAAGATGCTACATTTACCATGAGAGAGATAAAGTAAAGCAGAATTTAGTCAGTTTGCAGGCACAGATGCATACATGTTTCAGTTCAGCCCTATCTGAGATGTGTAATCAAAATCGACATTTACAGAGCATTTCATTCAAAAGTTATAGAATACACATTCTTTTCATCAGCACATGGAGCATTCTACAGAATAGACTATATCTACATCCGAAACCATGTTGTTTCAATAGATTTTGAAAAACGTTCCATAAAATTCAACATCCCTTTATGAAACAGTATAGAAGGGAAGATATCTTAAGATATCTCCTGTCAGCCCACAGCTAACATCATTCTGAATGGGAAAAAAAATAAAAGCCTTTTCTCTAAGATCTAGAACAAGGCAAAGATGCCCATGCTTACCACTTTCATTCAGCATAGTACTAGAAGTCCTGGCCAGAGCAATTGGGCAAGAAAAAGAAATAAAGTACATCCAAATTGAAAACAAAGAAGTCAAATTAGCCTTGTTCACAGATTACAAGATCTTATATTTTAAAAGTCCTGATGACTTAACCAAAAAAATGGGTAGAACTGATAAATGAATTCAGTAAAATTGCAGGATGCAAAATCAACAGACAAAAAAATCAGTGACATTTATATACACCAACAGTAAACATATGAAAAAGAAATCAAGAAAACAATTCCAGTTATAATAATGAAAAAAAATAAAATATGTAGGAATTAACCAAAGAAGTGAAAATCTGTTACAAGGAAAACTATAAAACATTGGTAAAAGAAACGGAAGAGGACACAAGTCTCTAGCTATGAGTTTCCATTAAATTTAAGGAGTTTCTATTACTAAAGGAAGAAAGCAGAATGAATATTGGGAATAAAGAGCAGTATCTATTTAAAAACTGTTTCTATAGTTGCTTAAGTACCCAAGTACACCTTTCTTCCTACACACAGAACACTCTTCAAGGAGGACATCTCTGAATCCCATTCAATTACCCATTCAGCTAACAGACTAGGAATTCTGGTTGACCCTTAGTGCCCTCCATTAGGTGCTGGCATGACTTCTTCCAGTCCAGAGATCTATAGACTGAAAAATGACCTCAGGTGCTCCACCCGCCTTGGCTTCCCAAAGTGTTGGGATTACAGGTGTGAGCCACCACTCCCAGCCAGAAGGGATACTTATTAAGCAAGACAAAAATCCAGTAAATACAGGTTGAAATGGTGCCCCAATTTGTGTTGTGATAAAGTCAACATGCAATTCCAAGGTACATACAAAATATTCAACAACTCTTATGCATCTAATGAAAGATATCATCTAAGAACCAGGTAAGTAGCAGGAATAGATTCTTAGAGTCATGTGATGTTTAAGTTGGTGGCAACATTCAAAAGTCAATATTCTAAACTCCATAGTTTAAACAGTAGGGAATGGGTCCAAGAGGGAATGTGGCTTACTCAAGTTATACACATATTTATAGGTGGCTCTGGGAACTGTTGGGCACTATGGAATAGGTGGAAGTTTAACAGAAATTTTATACCAAAATAACCAGCAAATTCAGTAGTACAAAAAAAAAAAAATCAACATCCTTGTTAGTTTGCCATGATATAGACCCAACAGTCATTTGTTTCGGTAGAGCTTTTTATCAGGCTGAATGTTCCAAATGCTCACAATTTTCTATCACAGTAAACAAGTCAGGGAATGCACAATAGTGAGAGCTGGACCATCTCATCAGTCATATCTAATAAATTGAGTGACTGCAATCAAATCATTAAGATATACATATGACTTCTTGAATAAAATCTTATTTCTTGGCCTTATTAAAAGAGAGAATATCATTTTATACTATACTATTTCTGAGATTATTATGCATCTTTGACTTTTTTTTAAGAAGGATATTGTCATGATGAAGGTATTCATTCTCTTTCAGAGACATCTTTTTATTGATGATAGAATTCAGGACCTAGTATCCCTAGATTTAGGCAATTGTGCCCACGAAAAGTGTGCCAATCATAACATAATAGCCTGCAAAAAATGAGATCTTGTAAGTTGTTTCAGGAGTCTGTCACTCCTATAGTGAGAATAAACCCAGACATAATGAAGTGATCCTGATGAATCAGGCATAATGAAGGATCTTGATGAATCAGAAGCCCTTCTTTCTCCACTTCACGTCCATTCCATCTTTACAACAGCTTTTGGTTTGATTTACTACATTATTGTAGGAGACAGGAATCATTAAACAGCTATAGAAAAATGAGATGTGTGTTCCTTTTAGGTTTTTATGCTTTTAAAATGATATTCAGATGATTTTAATTACTATAAAAGCATTGAGATGTTAATATACTTTATATGAAAGGGAGGGATACTATTTCATCCATCCTTTTCTGCAGCCAATTTCAACTCTGAGAAAATTATTTCTTTTGATCACTCTGATAGCATGTAATAAAAGAACAATAAAACACGTGGCTCAATTACCACTGCTTCTCATCAAGCGTGAATTAATGAATATAAAATCATTATTAATTGTTTTTCCTGGCTCCCTCTTCATAGGACAACAATTATACATTGCTGTATTTTGATAAGCATTTTGTGTTTAACACTTTGTGAACCAGGCTGTAAGAGGAACAGATGCATGAAATTATTACACAGGAGAATAATTCTTTGACTGTATTAACATTTCAAAAATATATGATAATCTTTTAATCTCCCTAGTTTCTAGCCGTTTTCCACAACTGCCTTAAAACTTCTCTAGAATACCGTCCCCACTTCAATGTTCCACACATCTTTTTTCTAGAAACAGTTTCTATCTGCACATAAAATAGTTTAGAAGTTCAATTTCTCACTGTTAATAATACTAGTTCCTCACATAATTATTATATGTTCAATTTCTTCAGCAGAGTTCCTTAAAAATAAAATCTATAACTTGAGCAGTTACAAATAAGTTAATGTAACTTATAAGTTACATTAACTTATTTGTAACTGCTCAAGCTATAGATGAAAAACATAGAGCAACAGAGAATATAATAGATTATGATCACTATAATTGACAAAATCAATGTTAGTGAATTATATTTACAAACACTTCACATAAAGATTCTATGTAACTGATAGTTCATTTTATTTTTATAAGACTTTAGTAAATATAGTGTTATGTAATATGAGTATATATAACAAGCTAAAGAACATATCTTTTTAGTCCATAACCATTACTTCTAATAGATTATGTGTATACCCAGATTTTTGAAACGCATACAAAGAAAATTTAACAAATGATGACATATAAGGTATAAATGTCATATGATTTTATCTATTACCCATAAATCTGTTTCTGTTTTTAAAACAGTTTTCAAACACTTTGTCTGTTATTAAACAATGACACTAAAGTTAAATTGTTGATATGTCTTATCTAACTCAATAGGCTTAACAAACACATATGTATATATGTTTCCAAAGAGCACAAACTAAAATCTGCTTTATAGTCAGAGAATTTGGGAAGCAAAAGGGACCTTAGACATCATTTTATCCAATCTCCCTTATGTTACAAATAATAGCACAGAGATCTGGAAAGTTTAGTGATTTTTCAGGTCCAAAAACTTTTTATGTTAACATCTTTCTGTCAAACTGTATGAGAAAATTGCTGGTAGTAGTTGTTTTACAGATGAAGGAAGCATATCTTGCTTCCTTTCAGTTCTTCAGGATGTCAACAATGTCTATGAATCTGAATTCTTAGAGAAATAAAGGTGAGGAAATGGGAAACTTGGCTTTAGTGGAAACCACCACTCACAGCCGACATACAGAGCGTGAATGGACCTGGCTGGAGTGATGATGCTCTCTGCTTATCGGAAGCATCGTTCCTTTGACATTGGTAACTGGAGCCATTTGAAATTTTTATTGCTAATACTAGCCAGAGATCAGATGCCTCTTTTTATGTGTGTGACCTTATTGAAAACAATCAGATTACTTATACAATAGCAGAATTGTTAATTTTATATGAGTTGATCTTCAATGTGAAAGCTTTTCTAGATTACATATTATTAAGATAAAACTTGTAACTTTTAATTCCTTAATGAGAACTTTTCATCTTGATTTCCATGTGTGAGAGTTATGAAATCCACTTTGCTGAAAAAGAAAAAAAAAAAAAGGTTAGATGAGCAAATTTAGTACAAAAACAACCTCATCATTAAGATTCACAATTATCCACCCACAGGGTAGTGGTGAATTAAAGATTTCACTTTTCCTTCCACTTCTGAAATAATCACTGTGGCTTTTGGTCACACTGTGTTTTATGAGATGTCTGAGAGTCATCTCTTGACAACTTGTATGTACTATAAAACATGCAATGCCTAAGGAGTACATACAGGGAGGAAGACACAAAAACTTCTAAGTCTTTTGGTAATCACATCCCCTTAGCCATATCATGAACTCCTGGTAGAATAAAAATTTTAGAGTTACCACCATGCACATCAAGACCCATGATATCACATTAGATCATCATAAGATTGCTAAACCAGAAAGAAAATTGAATATGAGAACTCTCTGGGGGAAACAGAAAATAGAAGGCACATATGAGTATAATTAGATTTGCTCTTGGAATTGATTCTGCAGCTTGATGGAATATGGGTTTCTGATATTTTTCAGAGCATTTTCCAGATGTAGCCTGCCAGTTGCTCATTAATATCACACATTTGTCATTAAATTCCATACTTTGGATCTCCCATAGGAGTCCCAAGTGTTCCTCTTTCATTCATTATATCAACAAGACAGTAGGAAAAAAGTGCCTTTCACATAGCACTGTTGACCATTTTTCAATATCATTTTGGTTATTTTATCTACTAACTATTGAATCTAAAAGTAAAATGTGAATAGTAGCTTTTAAAAACAAGTCAAGTTTCACAGGACTTAATTTTGCTAATTTGCCTACAATTAGCAACATCTCTTAAATTAGCTTTTAAACCTTTCATACATAGTTTATAGAAAATGTTAGTTAAAAACACAGGTCCTCAACATTCTTTTCTCACATTATATATGTTAATTAAGAGTGCAATTTATAGTAGCATTCATCTTAAATGTATAAAAAAAACTTAAATGCTGTATTTTTATGGAATTACACAGAATTTAAAGGTAATATTCAAAAGCATTTAATGCAATAACCAAATTAGATTAAAAATTATACAGTATTGAAGTGTAAGCATAAAGGTCATTTATAAATATGGACTTCATTTTAAACAATTATGTGAGTAGACAATATCTTTTTATGTTTGGGAAAAAATGGAAAATTTTCTAAAATAAATTACCTTTTTGTTTAGTTGTATCTATATCTAATCTGATACCAGAAGACAATATAAAAGTTGACTGATTTCATACCATTAAACAAAATACTACCATAGTATAAATATCTGCAGCTGAATTTTTAACTAAATATAATTAATAAAATGTTTTACTTTATTAAAATACATCATTTTAAATGATACCAAATGCTCATTAACATTAACAGAAGTGATAAATGCTTACAGAGTGTAACACTTACCCATAATTTTAGAGTAGCAAGGTTCACAGTGTATTGTCTGTCTATAAATCCAAATACTGTCACCCGCTTGTAGATTTTCCAAAGGCCGCTTGCATATTTCACACTAAAGAAAAAAATATATACATAAAGCTTTTACTGTAAATGAAATCTTGATTTTTAGAGAAACGGACATAGAAAAGTCCTCTCAGTTCATTCAGGACTGTCTTTCACAAGAGACTCAAGAGAAAACACAGGGCAATGAAGAGTGTACTTGTCTATAATCCAAGTGCTGAACTTTTCAAATAAATTCTCACATCATCTCTCTGCCATCGAGGTAGTTTTAAGGGATGTCTACCACTGTATTTTTCTACTTCACTCACAGTGGAGTAGATATAAATGCCCCAAAATTGTTTATGCCAAGGACAAGACTACAAAATATCTCAAACGAAAACACAAAGCTGCATTTATTGTTTGCTAACTTAAGGGAGAGCTAATTATGCTGTCCAGGCACAATCTCATGAGTGAAATAAACTGCTGATCTGACTGGGTTTGAGAAAAAGTTTATTTTAAGTAGTACTGGTTAGAGGTAAAAAAGGCTGACCTCTGCTTTAGATCTGTCCACTGCTGATTGGCTGGCTTCCAAGCATGAGGCTGTCACTGATTGGTTGGCTTTCAGAAGCAAATTCATTGAAGTAAACAGTTGTTGATTAATTGGACATGTCTAAACCAGTTAATGTAGCTCGCTATTGCTATGGCTATAGAACAATCAGCATTTTTCTATGAGTGTGAAGATGTTTGTTTTTATTCTTGGTAGTATTTTATTGAAATTACACTAAAAATAGAAAGAAATGATCTAAAATATAATAAATGAAAATATTTACCAAAAGTTATGATCAGGAGAATATTCTTGTTTTACATTTTTCTGCATAGTAATTTTAAATAAAAAGCTACAGGCTACATTTTGTTTAATTGAATATATTTCATAACTAAAAGCAACTTCATGTTCTCATAACTAATTATACAACCTGCAGATTATATTTTTATATAGGATTCTACATATTATGCTCTAAAATTGCAGTGTTTTGCTCAAAATCAGTTACTATATTTCTGACTGCTATGTGTCACCGTTTGAAGGTAATTGTAATAGAAGGAATCAATTGACAAAGTATTTGATTCTTTGAGTGGATTTGATAATTTGTATCAACTGCAGAATATTGCACTAGAAAGAACCCAACTGACTACATATTAGATTAATCAAGGAGCTTTTTAAAAATACCAATGCCCAATAATCACCTCTAAGATTCATGATTTAATTGGAGCTGCTCTCAATCATTCTATCTTTTCCTCATCTCCCCAAATGATTATGATGTGCAGTCAAGGTTGAGATCCACTAGTCTAGTCAATACCTCATTTTACAGTTAGGGAAACCGAGGCATGGTAATTTAGGTGGTTGTCCAAAGTCACATAAACAGTTACAAGCAAAGGCAAAACTAAAACTCAGGTTTTCAGATTCCTGTTTAGTGCTTACGCAGTTACACCAAAAACAATGATGTTGATCTACTCAATGTTATGGTGAAAATGCAAAGAAACATCCTAAGGAAGCACAAACTATGAAGCTTTAGTCTACTAATGAAAGCTTTATTATTTATTGAGCCACAATTAATTACAACTAATTATGCTCTCAAAGCAGACTGACTTTCACATATTATTAAACCCACTGGTCCTAATTTTGTGATGTAAGAAACTGCTAGCTTTTCTCTCAAAAATTTATTTTCTTGTTTTGATTTCATCACATATTTTCTGTAATGCATAATTTAGTAAAGTGTTGCAAAAACTTTTATAAAAAGACCAAGTGGGAGTTTTTTCCCACAGATTTAAATCTCTAGAGTAAGAGTGAATAAATGTGTCAGTAATCAACTCTAAGCCTAAAGCCAAGATTGTAATTACAAATCTTTGAGGTTTAGGCTGAAGAACCAAGAAATATTTAAATGGTGTACTATTAATGTGGCTGACAGTGCTTCTGAAAGCTTTTGCTTCATCTCATGCATTTCATTAAACAATTATTTTTATTCCAGTCATTATGCAACTTTTTATTTAGTTAAGTGAAATCAACATATCCTTACCTTAAAGCAAGTAGAATGGCAGCAAATTTGTAATTCATCTAAAATCATTTTCGTTTCCACACCCAAGGGTTTTCGGCAATAAGTGCACATATCTCTTTCAATGACAGACCTATAGTGACATAAGCAATTAAAAATAAATTTGCCATAATACAAATGACAGTTGTATTCCCTATAAAGTCATGTGGAAACAGTATCCGATGATATCTGAAAGTATCTGATGATACTTCAGAAAATTTCACAAAATCAAGGAAAGTTTGGAGTTTACTTATTCTAGTAATAGAATTGACTCTTCTAGTTACCTCAAAATGATATCAAGTAATTAAGATGAAAGAAAGTCTCAAATTATTAATTCATCAGAAATCAAGAGTGCATCTGAGTGGGATAATGGTGTTGAGTTTCCTAGCTGAACCCGGGAATATCTCAAGTACTCCTCAGAAGTAGTTGAGGTTTTTAAATTATTAATTTACATATATCATGCTACAGATTACATGGAAAAATTATGCTGCAGATTAATATACATTTTCAACTCTCAAAATATTCAATAGGCCCAAAATAGAAATCCATTCAAGAGCATGTTGATAAACTCACAAAATGATGGGACTGCAGGGGCCAGAGTCACCAAAACACTTCTCAAGGTGCCACCGTAAGACTCAGGATGTAAGAATACCTCCCATGACAAAATTTATGCTCTCCAGCCAGATATAACCCCACCACAAATTTGATGGGGAAGAAAAGAGAGTTATGTTATTTATTAAAAAACAAATATTAAATATTTGTTAAAATGATGTTTAACAGTAAATGATCTGTAGATGTGATCAGCAGAATCCAAAACATCTTGAGTCACACCAGAACCTTAGGAAAGGATCCTTTTCCTTTTGTAAGGTCTTAGGACTTGCTTAAACAGCATCCTGCAGAGCGAACTAGTTTCAGGGGATTAGCATGCAGGCCTGACATTTCCAGAGTAGGATATGTAATGGGGTAGTGAAATTAAGCAGCCAATATTTATGTAGTGCTTTATATGATATGTGCAGTGCACTTTTCTCTGCACTTTACTTACATAAACTCATTTATTCTTTACAACATTCCTGACAAGCCAGGAATTATTATTATTATTAATTAATAAAATTATTTATAAATAATTTTATAAATTATATATAATATATAATATATTTATATTATATGTAATAAAATTATATATATTTATTATATAAAAATATTATTTTTATCATTATAGTAAAAAGGAAACTGAGGCACAGAGGATAAGTAATATGCCACTATCATGAAACTAGTGAGTGGAATAGTAAGGATGTGATTGGAGGCATTGTGGTCCCAACACAGTGAGTCAAGACCTGTTGCGCTCATTGTGTTGAAATGAGTTAGCAGTACCCAGGAAACACTAATCTATTACCAAGCCCAGAAGTAGGAGCAGAGAGGAGAGAAAATGGAAGCAGGGAAAAGAAAGTGGGAGAAGAAAGGCATTAGAGTAGATAAGCTTTATATAGCTTTATACTTTTAATCATTCTAGAAACCTCTTTCTAAATCTCATGTATATAAATAAATATTTTCTGCTTTCTGCTTTCATTTGTTCTGTACCCACTTGCTTATAGCTACCTGGCAAATATTTTCCTATGAATTATCCATAAACACACACACATATGTATGCATATACTTTAATTTCCCATTTAAGACTGCAAACACTTCTAGAGTAGAAAATGGCACTCTGTTTCCTTCATTCATTCCACAGGCACTGATCGAGGAGCTGCAAATACAAAGAGCGGTGAGACAGTCTCCTCTGACAAGACGCTCTTTCCACCACACGATGTAAAGACGCATGATGTAATGATCGCAGTGGAATACAGGTATGTGGAAAGAGTGAGGAGAGCAGAGCCAAGAGAACCACTAACCCCTGGAGTGAAGTCAGGAACACCTCATCAGAAAAAAAGTGCTGTACCTGTTGTTTGAAGAGGAAAGAGCTCTCAAGGTGGGCTTGGTGGGGTGCGGATGAAGGAATGGTAGAGGAATTACAAGCAGAGTAAACAGAACATACAAATGTGCTACTCTGGGAGGGTATTTAGAGGGACTGAGCATCAGTGAATATTCTGCAGGAGTGGGTTCTGAAGGGCCATGGAGAATGTGCAAAAGAACTTGGACTTCATCCCGTTACATGAGACACCACTTTAAACAGGATTGACATGCTTAGATGAGAACTGTAAGAACATTGCTAATTTTACACACTATCAACAGTAAAAGTTTGTATAACCAACTGGTCTCAGAGAATTAACTTCTGCAGTGATGATTAAGAAAATTTCAAAGCGCTTTAGGAACAGGATTTAAAGTCTTTGTATTAACAGCAATACTTTTATGGAGAAAGTTTTCCTCCCTTAAGTTAATAATAAAAATACAAGCTCAGGAAATGCATTGATGTTGGTATCATCTTTATTAAGATCATACATTTAGTCAAAGATCTTTTCGAAGCATCATGAAAAACCTAGCTACGTTGTTTTTTAATTGGCTATCCAGATGATATTTGTAGTTCTAATGCTAGTGTCGATGACCTTTCTGCTCAAAGAGGTGTGACTTACAGGCAAGACACTCAACAAAACATTGCTAATGGACCAAATATTGGAAAAGCCACAAGAAAGAGATATAATTTTGATTCCTGGTTCATCCATGTTTCCCTTAGAAAATGGAACATAGGTTCATGTTTAAAAAAAAAAACAAAACCCTATTTACTGAGTACACATTAGGTACCAAGCACTGTGTTAGAAGCTGAGACTTCACACGAAAATAAGATATTTCTTTACCTTGGCTCGAGTCATAGCTCCAGCCCCTGCTATAAAGAAACACCATCAGTGGAGTATCAGACATTTCTATGACGACTTGTTTCCAGTGCTTGAGTTGAAATGATTCATTTACTCCATTGAAAATCTGCAGGTCATACTCTCATGAATGTCACCTAGGTGACCCACTAACATTAAACGGTAAAAGAGGATCACTAACAGCAAAAACCTGGAACAGGGCCAGTTCACCAGCACTCAATCAATATGCATCATACTCCACTCCTGGGAACTGAGCTTGGGCCCAGAGTGGGTCACAGCAGCATATCTGCGTGGCTGTTTGTAAGCCAAGAAGGCTACAAAAAACACAAGGAGGGAGGGCTGAGGGCACAGTCTATGGATGCAATGAAGCCTAAATGCTAATAATGTGGCAGTCCTGGGGCATCCTGAGGATCACTAGCAGCAGAGGGGCTGGCCTGGGAAGCAGCTATAAGGCACAGAAAGGCCTTTTGATAATATGCATCAAAATCAGACAGCAGAAATAGCCAGGAAGCCAAGAAACAAATTCCTGGATGCAGAAGTTGTCATTATTGAATTGCACTTTGTTCTGTCCACACACATTCATGACAAGAAATGTAAGTGGAACCATCTCTAAGTACAAAGTACAACAAGATGTATATATAAATGTGTGTGCATGTATATGTACTATTTATGTATGGAAATAAAGACATACTCACCTATCAGAAGTTGAATAAACAGTTTGTATGTATTTTCCAGAGACATTTTCCTGATAGCTATCCTTGGGTGATCTACTAGGAACAAACATAGATGCACATGTGAGAATCAGGCGATTTTCCTTATGCAGATAAGAAAACACACTCACACTGTCTCATGAACCCTCATAATATTTTATTTTTGTGTATGTTACAAGCCAGGATGATGTACTGACACCTTTTTTTAATCTATAGAAATATTGACACACAAGACACCCCCAAAGTGACATATATATCAAAATAAAGAGAGTAGGGTAAGGCGTACAGGAACAAGTGTGAGCAGGAAAAGAAGTCCACATCTTTCATGAAATGTATACTTGCACCTCATCAGTTTACTAAAGAAAGCTACACAGAATGTAATGTAGATAAAGGAAATCACAAAGCACAAACAGAGCAAGCACATAGATACATACACCATTCCCAGGGAGAAACTGAGATTCTTGAACTTTTAGAGAAAGCACTAGAGATTTTTATTTTTACTTGAATATATCCAAGAAAAATAACTTAGAATGAAAGTAAGAGATGTATAATTTTTTAAAGTTTTTTCTTTTCTATTATGTAGATTGTCCCAGTTTTTAAACACCACTCTTTCCTGAAGACAAATAAAATCTGTAACGTCCTAACCAGCTGGCTCCCATATTGCTTCCCGAGTACTTATGCCACCTGGAAATATATTAAGAATAGAAGCAATATATTTCTTTTATTTCATACAATGAGTGATAACTTCATGAACCTCTCTCTCCAAATTTTCTGTAGGCAGACTGCCTTCAGAACTAAAATCTATTTTATGAAACATATAATCCCACAATGCTAAATAAAAATTTGCATATATTTATGCAGGATGTACATATCACGATTCCCATTTTATTGATGAGGAAACTGAGACTAGAAGAGGAACATCACTAAGGCTACATGATTAGGAAATGACAAAGAAGGATTTAACCTCAAATGTGACTCTAGGGACTCTGTATTGTACCATACTGCCTGTCAATGTAGATTTTAGAAAACTTAAGGATATCTGAGGTACATCACCATCCTTGCTAGGTTAAGGTACAGGAGGCAGCCAGTCCTTCCAGAGGTTTCTGGTCAACAGACTATTAACCTGATATGCCACACTATTCATATTTTCTGTTTATAATAATGGGGCTCAAACTCGGATTCACATCAGGAACATCTGAAGAGTTTGTTAAGACACAAGTTGCTGGGCTGGAACTGCAGAGGTGCTGATTAAGCAGGAAGGAGTGAGGCCAAATAATTTTTATTTCTAAAACGTTCCCAGATCATGCTCATGATGCTGGCCCAGAGACTATGCTTTGAGAATTACTGTTCTATATGTGAACATGATACACATATACATATGTACATGGTATACAGTATGCAGTTAAAATATAAACTATAGTCATTACAATAAAATAAGTATGTCTTAGTCTTGGTACTTCTATGAATCAAGTTAATATTATTTTATCCATCTATCCAATTAATTAAAAAATCCAGAGTATAATATTTAGCAGAATATTCCTTATTCTTAAAAGAATTATTCATATTCAAAAATCAATATTGTAGTTGTTTAGCATTAGCTCCCATAAGACATGTCTTTAAAAATGAAAATGTATTGATGTGACTTTTATAAAGATACAAATATGAGAAATTACTATGTAAATATAGAAGAAAATGCCTTATTGTTCCCCAATATTTCACGCCTTGCCTTTACTATGATACTATTTGATATTATGTATATTTTTATCAATCTATTTCAGATTTAGTAACTACTTGCTACTTTAAAATTTACTCTGAAATTTTTAACTTTTAGTTTAATTGAAAGACAGCAAAAATCACTGACTTGAACACACCAGAGAGTGAGAATTGGATTAAGGAAAAAATCAATGTTGATGTTGCATTTTACAAGGTAAATTATGCATGGGTTTGAGAAACCTTTGTTGGAAGACTGCTCACCTCCTGACTTGTATTGAATTTCCTGGATCCCTGTCACAACTGCCTTCCACACAGAAGCCTCCCTGAATACTCTGCTCTGAGACGTCTTTGAAATGGGCCTGGATTAACATATGGGTTGTATATACCAGAATCTGTGTGTCCCACCATTATTGTTCTCCACAGCTGGGGCAATTTTTGTTTTATATTCCTTGAAAACCAAATGAATTATTGAGCCCTGACCTTGGTTTACATTTTCCTCAATATCCATCACTTCAAGCAGCAGATTTCAACTGAGACATCAATATCCTGTAACTTGGGCTAGGATACACTACTCAAAGTTATACCCCTTATTTTAGATTGGAGGTAAACAACAGTAGATAGAATCATTTAATTCAAGTGGAACTCCAAAATTAGTATAGGAATAGTTGTGCAATTTTATAAAGCTTATTTTAACCATATAGTTATATACATTTATGTGAGAACTTTCAAATGGCAATCTTATTATGTATACATCTATTATATTAAAATATTATTGAGTTCATCTAATGGCTATAATTATTTATAGCCCAAGTACATAATATCAGAAACATTATAGAGAATTATATATGTAGAACTCAATATACACATAAATGGTCTTCTATTTGAAAGAAGCACACCCTAAAAAAAGTAGCATCTCTTATTAAGCATAGATCCTTTCAAAATTACAAAATGAAGCAGAATGTTTTAAGTAAACTTTGAATACCTATTTTCCACGTACGTTCTTGTGTACACAACAGTATCCTTTAGTCCTTCCTGCTTGGGTCCAGTGTTAGAGCTGCAAAACAAATCATTTTACATCATGTTTAAAGCTTATTTGCAGGGATAATAAAAAAAGGCAATTTTCTAATTCACTGTAAAAGGTAATGCACATGCGTTCCTTCTGAACTATAACTGTTGAAACGTGAATGTTAGAGTGGTGTTAACATACCACTGCAAACATTTTTTTGTCTCCCATTTTGTTTTTAACTTCCATTGTCTTGGTTTACTTCCAGAGTATTGTTACAAAACTTGGGCACTAGATAATTCTTTTGTAGAACATGAAGATTATTTTTCAATATTTGTATATGTTCTAGTGTCTCTTTCTCCGTTGTCCCATTTATATTTCCAAACCATAACTTTCTTCATATACCTCAAACCAAAAGTAGAGTTAAATTGGCTATCTTGACAATATATGATTTAACAAAGCCTTTATATATACATAAAGAATGTCATACTAATGTCACAATCATGCTTTTTAAAATTATAGACTTTTTAGGGGAAAATCATGTTTGATACTTTCCTATCCAGATGTCACACAATGACAGAGTCATTAACTCAACACTTTTATGTAAGGCTGTTTATACAGGTAACCCCCACATAAAATTAGAAATTTCTGCATTTCAAACGAAGGGTCAGTTGGATGTGGGATATTTTCAAAAAACAAAAGGAGAAAATTCTTGTCATTTACTCTGTAGTTGGCCACTGTACCTGAGATTGTTTCTGGCTTCATAAGAATAGGAAGGGGTTCTTGTGGACTGGTTGTGTAGAGCATTGGTGAACCCATTGACTTGGCCATCCAGCCTGAGAAAGCAAACGCAAGTATTTGGCACTTCAAATCAAAGTCACTAGAAGTTTTTTGTTTTATTGAAATTCTTCTCAATTAACATTATTTTACAATGTGAATCTCTTTGTATTTGCCTGGCTTCTGCACAGATAACACAAATAAAATGCATGTACTATTTTACTTCCTCTACAGAAACCTCTGCTTTGCCTTTAAAAATAATCTATAGGTGGGCCGGGCGCGGTGGCTCAAGCCTGTAATCCCGGCACTTTGGGAGGTCGAGGCGGGTTGATCACGAGGTCAAGAGATCGAGACCATCCTGGTCAACATGGTGAAACCCTGTCTCTACTAAAAATACAAAAAAAAAAAAAAAAAAATTAGCTGGGCATGGTGGCATGTGCCTCTAATCCCAGCTACTTAGGAGGCTGAGGCAGGAGAATTGCCTGAACCCAGGAGGCGGAGGTTGCAGTGAGCCGAGATCGCGCCATTGCACTCCAGCCTGGGTAACAAGAGCGAAACTCCGTCTCAAAAATAAATAAATAAATAAAATAATAATAATAATAATAATAATCTATAGGTATATGCCACATTATCTAACATTGTCCTTTTTATCAAGATCAGAAACCATCTGCAATTGGTTCCTGTAACATTTTCACACCAGCAGTGCCATTATAGAAAGCTTCCCATGTAAAATATATCCAAGAGTTTATTAATTGAATGAAAAAGATCCAAACGTTGCTTTGAGAAATTCCAGTCTTCATTTTGGTTGAAGGCAATATTTTGAAGATGGCAGAAGAACTCTGACCTAGATTTCTGCTAATCTAAAAATGTCATGATGCTTAACAAAATGTAGGCATATTTGCTTTTTCCTAAGGAAGACAGGAGATCCTTAATGCAAGAACAGAGAAAATTTTAACTCCTTTTCCTCTTCCATATGAGTAAACTCTGACACAGAAGAGACATGAAAACCTAGAGTTTGAATCTTAATTAAGCCTTGTGATTCTCAAACAGGCTGACTTCCAGATAGCTCTTAAAGAAGAGGAAAGAATTTGTTCACATATTACCTCTGGCATACAGAAAACCATCTGGTTTTAAGGCAGATGTTTCATAAAACAGACAGCTGAGTTAAAATTCTACTAAGTGATGAGAAAGTGGAATTAATATTATTAGGTTTTCTAACATGATTATTAGAATATGTCATCCCAAGAATAACAAACCTAGCTAAGAATCATTTGAAAATATTAAAATCATATAATATACAATACAAAACCCAACTTTAACAAGTAGAGAGCTTCAAAGGACAAAGATTATCAGTGAGTTTGAAATGTATTTGCATTGTCCTCAGCAATATAATACCAAAAATCACCAGTTTGCAAAATCAGCAAACAGGAGAGAGAAGTAATTTGCAAACAGTACTGTTATTGGCTGAGATGTATTCTGCCAAAATTTTTTGTTTAAGCCCTAGCCTTCAACATGACTATATTTGGAGACAGGGTGGATAAGGAGGTAATAAAGGTCATCTGAGGTCATGGGAGTGGGGCCTTAACCCCATAGAACTGGAATCCTCATAAGAAAAGGAAGAGCTACCAGAGATATCTTTCCTTCTGTGTATAGAGGAAAGGCCATGTGAGGACACAGTGAAGAAGGTGGCCATCTGCAAGCCAGAATGAAAGGCCTCGCCATAAACCAATCCTGGTAGGACCTTGCATTTGGGCTTCCAGCCTCCAGAGCTGTAAGAAAATAATTGTTCATTGTTTAAGCCACTCATTATGTGGTATTTTGCTATAGCAACCCAAGATGACTAATACAGGTATCTTTTCCCAGTTGTGTTTATAATGTGATTAACAATAATGCCTTCATGGAATATTGAATTTTTATAATTGTGAACAAGAACCAAATGATAGGTTTGGAATGTGGGACAACAAACTGATGGATTTTTGTGCCTCATGTAGACTTTAAGAATGATAATTTAAAAAATAAACCATTATTTTGGAGTAATTTTTAAATGCACAGAAAAACTGCAAAGATAATACAGAGTCCCTGTATACCCTTCACCCAGATTCCCTTAAGGCTAATAGCTTACATAATTATAACAGAGTTGTCAAACCTATAGAATTAATATTTGTACCATACTATGAACTAAGCTACAGATTATTCATATTTCTCTGCTTTTTCCATTGGCGACTTTTTTTTCTGTTCCAGAATCCAATCCAGGATATCTTATGTATATAATCATTGTGTCTCTTTGGTCTCCTAGGGTCTCTGATAGTCTGCCAAGTCTTTGTTTTTCATGGGATAGTGATAGATTTTACAACAAAAATTTTATCTTAATAAGTTGTAAGACTAATTTTTTCTTATTTAGAGCCATAGAAATAGAGTTGGGGAGACAACACTTTGGCAACCAATGAAACAGTCCACAGTGCCTTTTAAAATGCTACTGGGCCCCATATGCAGATATTCTAATTTAACTGGTTTGGGGTACAGGTTGGGCACTGGGAACATTTAAAGCTCTTTAGTGAGTCTCATATGCAGTCAAGGTTGAGAGTCACTGCCTTAGAATTGGGAAGTCCAATATCTTACTCAAAAGAGTACTGATTCTCGAAGTGTAGGCCCTGGAATAGCAGGTGATTCTGATGTACCTAAAAGTTTGGGAACCAGTGTCATAGAAGAACCTCTGCCAAAGTATTCCTCTCAAATGCCTTGAATAATCCTTGTAAAGGAGAACTCATGACTCATAACATATGTAACTTGACAGCTTAATTGTTAGGGAGTTATCCTCCATTAAAACAAATTGCTGAATTGTAATTTCCAATTAATGGTCACAGTTTTGTTTCTTAATTAAACAATGACTCTACAAATACAAACCCAAATATTGTATTGAATCTTATAGAATTCCAAATGGATTTACACTTGAGAAAATGTTTCCTGCAGTAGAAATTCATCTTGAAAATTTACCTAAAACAGGCAGAACTCGGTGGCTCACACCTGTAGTCTCAGCACATTGGGAGGCCAAGGCAGGTGGATCACCTGAGGTTGGGAGCTCAAGATCAGCCTGACCAACATGGAGAAACCCTGTCTTTACTAAAAATACAAAATTAGCCAGGCATGGTAGCACATGCCTGCAATCCCAGCTACTTGGGAGACCGGGGCAGGAGAATTGCTTGAACCCAGGAGGTGGAGGTTGTGGTGAGCTGAGATGGCATCACTGCACTCCAGTCTGGACAAGAAGAGCAAAACTCCATCTCAAAAAAAAAGAAAGAAGGATTTACCTAAATCCCTCATACACTGTGTATGAGAATATAAAATGTTATGGCTCCTTTGAAAACACTCTATCAGTTCCTCAAATGGTTAAACATAGAATTATTCTACAATCCAGCAATTTCACTCCTGTTATATACCTACCAAAGAAATGAAAACACATTTTCACACAAAAATTCATATATGAATGCTCATAGCAACATAATTCATAGTAGTGAACTAAAACCCAACAGTGGAAACAATCCAAATGCCATCAACTTGTGAATAAATAAACACAATTGTCTGGCCACCTTATCTTTATATGATTTCAAAAGGACTGCAGTACTTAAAATCTGTGAAATGGATCTATGAAATTAATTTCACTCATAGTCACAAACCATTTAGTTTAGGGAAACCCTCTGTCATTTAGAATTGAAATAAAAACATTTAAACTTACTCCTGTTGAGTCTTAGAAAAGAATACCCCAAATTGAAAACCTCAGATGTAGGCTCAGGAGCAAAAGTTTTTCTCTGAGCTCCTGCCTTCCTGTCTCAGTCTCATTCCCCCACAAGGAGAGCCAAATAAACTATCCTCTTCCCCAAAGCAAGTCATACAAACCACAACCCCTTTTCCCCAAAGCCAGCCATAAAACCTAAAATTATTACTCTAACTATCCCTTCACCTTTCTTTCTATGTAAAAACTGGCCATATAGAAATCATCTGACCTCCCTTGTTTGACTGTAGATCATAAGACCTCCATTCCAGAAGAATCCTGCCCCATACCAAGAAGGAAGGAAGGCATGCTCAAGAGGCTAAGAAGAATCTAGGGACAGAGGCCTTGCTTGGTTTCCCCACTCAGTCTCTTGCCATTGGGGTCATATTCTTTTTGTCCAATCATATTTCTACCTGGCTCTCTATACTTTATTGAACCTAAGTATTAAATGGACAATTTCCCCTGTATCTTGGGGTCTTCCTTCTGAAGGTTACCATCACAGGTTAAATAAATTTATATGCCTTCCCTCTAATGACTCTGCCTTTTGAAAGTTGGTTTTTCAGCAAAGTTTTAGAAGGCAAAGTGGAACTTTCCCCTTGGCTCCTACCTTTTTAATCAAATTAGAAAACATATATTTGCTTGGGCATCCAATTACAATGTAAAGTGAATATGTTCATGTCTCAGTTTAGCAGATTGCTCCAGGACTCTTATGTTTTTAATTTGATTCATTAAAGAACCTAAGAGTTAGAGTAAGCTGAAATTACAAAAAAGCCAAAACTGAGAGGCAACACAAATTCTTGGTTATCAAACAGAAGAAGAGCAGAGAATAAGGAAGTGGATAGGTAGAGGGAAGAGCAGGAAAAAGATGGACAAAAGCCAATATTCAGTGACTAGCTGAGTTCCATTAATGACAAAGAACTCTAGTTAATGTCCAAGAGTTCCAAACTTCTTCAGGTCAAGAATGAACAATCTCCCAAGTGAAATCTCTCTGAGGCCTGGCAATGCTGCCATTCCTGCTCTTGAACTTCCATGAAATTTCATTTCCTCATTAATCCATCTGATAAAATCCCATTTCATGAACAGGTCCAATGGAACTGGAATGCTTCTCAAATCAAACGGGAAATTCCTTAATTATACTTAATAATTAACTTGTAATTTTTTTACCTCAATCAATTCCAAATAATACTTGAATGAGATTAGTTCATTGTAAGCCCAGTCCTATTCCCAAAATAGTACATGTGTTTCCAGGATAAGCAAACCCTACTGAAAATGTATCCTCCCATATTCTCTCAAAGACTTTCTCTAGGTCACAAACAGAAGAAAGAAGATGATTTGGAGAATTAAAGAAATAAAAAAAAAAACTATCTACCTGTTGGATTCAAGAAACTTTTTTAGACAAGATGAAAAAGAAAAGTGAGCCAGCTCTTTTAGCTTTTCCATTCTCTGTAGACAATATCAAAAATATCATTTGTTTACATAAAAAATTTAATAGAAAAGGCAACTGCACCTTATGAAGGTGAAAATAGTAACCTATTGTATTTAGTATTCCCTAATATGTTGGGGTAAGAATTGCTAAACATGGAAAAGTTATTTCTTCCTAAATTATACAGTCTGTGACAAAAACGAAGTATAGCTTCTGTCCTAAACTTTCTTGTAATGGCCAAAAAGGTATCACAGTTTTAAAGCCTATTATACCCTATGGTGTAAAGAAATTTCAAAATTATGTCCTGTTTTGTGGCTGTAATAAATTTGTGCATTCTTTTAGCACTAGGCATCTAAGGAAGAGATTCTCAGAGTGCTTTCTGCACTGCTGAAAGCTTACCAAGCAACAGTATGTAAAAATAAATCTTCACAGCCCCAAAGAGCTTTGAATTTCCATGATGCCATTTACACCAAGCAATAGAACAGCAGGCCTTGAGTCAGAATTAGAATTATGTTAATTTTTCCCTATTAGCTATTAAGCACCCTTTAACTTTTTATATTTGGAATACACACACACACACATACACACACACACATATATATATATAAACATACACTATCCAAATTATATCTTACATATATATTCTTTATAAAATATATATATATAATCTTCTAAGGCTATAAAATATTTGCAGGTACATATGGAACTCATAAGAAAGAGTGAATTGTAATAAGCTTTACCTTCCATTCTTATTTTCAGATACACGAGATTTTACTTCAATTAAATTTTCCAAGTCCTGGTCTCTAAAGAAAAAAATATGTATTTTATAAATATAGCATATATATATATATATATATATATATATAGTAGTTATAACGAAATGACAGGAGATAAGAAAATACTAAAACATTCAAAAATCAGTACATAACCTTGGACAGGGTCATTTGTGGCCCATCAGGTTATGGGAGAGTGGATACCTGACACTGAGCTATTTGATCCATACAACTCATAGATCAAACATGGAAGCACGGATTCCATTGTGAAAGAGAAATAAAGAACTAACTTTTTAGAAGATTTGGAAATCTGATCTGAAAAGAAATCACTAATTTTTATTCTCATTCATCTTCTTTTTCTTTTTTTATTGATGTATAATAGATGTACATCATTTCAGGGTACATGTGATGATTTCATACATTCATATAATTTGTAAAGATCAAATCAGTGTACTTGGGCTATCTATTACCTTAAATATTTATCTCTTCTCTATGCTAGAATCACTTAAAGTCTTCTCTTCTAGCTATCTGGAAATGCACAATCAATAATTGTAAACTATAGTCATCTTACTGATCTAATACTAGGTCTTATTTATTTTATCAAACTGTATATTTGTACCCATTAATCAACTTCTTTTTGGCCAACATTTAGTGAGTACTAATTTTGTGTCATGGAGTACTAACTGTGTTTTTACATGGATTATCTCATTCAGATCTCATAAAAGTCCTGCAGGACAGCATCTGGAGCTCAGAAAGGCAAAGTCAATTTTCCAAGGCCAATTAACTAATTTACGGAAGAGTCAAGATTTGGGACAATGCCATCTGCCCACCTGAAATCAATTCTTGAATGTTTACCTGGAGACCTTATTTAGGCCTTTGGGATCACAGAAACAAGGGAAATCAACTCAAAATTTGAACGAACAATTCATTATGTGGAGGATAAATGGAATGATCAGATTCTTAAATCTTGGGCTACATTAATGATTTGAAGATGATTTTCTACAAGCCAAAGAGAGAAGCCTGACACAGATACTTCCCTTTCAGCCTCAGAAGGAACCAACCTAACCCTGCTGACAGCTTGATCTTGGACTTCTAACCTCCAGAGCTGTGAAACAAAAATATTTGTCTTTAAGCCACCCATTCTGTGGTAGTTTTTTATGCAGCTCTAACAAATAAATACAGGTCTGCTTCTACCCTCACAATGTGATTACATTTATTTTTTCAGCCTTATGGTGAACATCTTCAACTCCTCCTGGCTTTCAACTCCTGGTTGCTGTAGACACTGCATCTTTGCTCTGCTCACCTGTCACTCAAGCTCTTTTGTGCCTTAGCTTGCATGAGGGGAGAAAGAATGGGTTTGGAGCTGAGAAAGGAGAAGAAGCCAGAATCTTAAAAATCCAACAACTACAGACAGATAACTCAAAATTGCAACCTATGCATGCCTTCAAAGAAACATCTTTCCAGAGTGGTACAGTTGCAAGTCATCAAATAAACCATATTATTAGTTGTTTCATAAAATTTTTCTTATTTGATTAAACACTGCCACATAGCAGGTTTGGTAGATTAAGATTTTATTTATTTATGTATTTACTTATTATTTTAAGGCTAGTCAAGTGAAGCAATGCAAGTGGAAAAGGAACAAAGAAATCTACAACTGGTTGTGATCAATTAGTAGTAAATACCACTGCACTCAGAGCAGCTGAGATTTTAATCTGAATAATCTATATTAATATTTAATGTAAAATAGAAAGTCACTGATTAAGGAAAGTAGAAAATGTGCATTTGCTTTGGCAATTCACTCTGATTGATGTCATCAGCTATATTTGAAGATCCAATAAAAGAAGCATAGACTGCTCATAACTTTCCAAGTTAAAGGAGATAAAAATAAATTTTTTGTTCTTTAATTAAGACCACATTAATTGCATAGTGACTTTTACACTGTAGTATAAGATGAAGAACTGTGAGTCAAGTGTGAAAAATAGATTTTTATAGAAATGAAGCCAAATGCTGCAGGGTTAAGCAGAGGCTTGATTCTAAACCCCTTTCATGGCAGTGGCATAGAAAACAGGCAGACCTTACAATTTTATACATTTATGGACAGGTGGAATTAATTCTAAGAAAATCACCAACTTTCTGTAGTTACAGAAAATTGTTGAAGAGCAAATTGTTAGTAACAATTACAACCAATAATGTTTTTGTTTTTTAGAGACTGGGGTCTAGCTCTGTCTCTCAGGCTCTAGTGTAATGGTACTGCCATAGCTCACTGCAGCCTCCAATTCCTGAGCTCAGGCAATCTTCCAGTTTTAGCTTCCCAAGTACCCAGGACCACAGGTGCATGCCATCACACCCAGCTAGTTTTTTGTTTTTTTTTTTAATTTTTGTAGAGACAGGTTCTAACCATGTTGTCCAGGCTGGTCTCAAACTCCTGGCCTCAAGCCATCCTCACACCTCAGCCTCCCAAATAACTGGGATTACAGGTACCTGAACAAATAATGTTTTTTAAAATGTGTATTTCAGAATATTTGGGGAGAAATATGAGTTATCTATGAGATAAAGCCACAGGACAATTTTTGAGTATAAGAATTTATCCATGTTATAATAGTGTCATTTAATTTTTACTCTCACATCAAAGATTGTAACACTCTCTCATAACGAAGGTGAAGAAAAAAATAGAAATTCTGGGTACCCAGGAATTACATCTTTTACTATACAACTTTTCCTAGGAGAAGTTCTGCATATCAGACCCTTATTAGCTCACTCCTAACTGTTCTTCCTTCCTCCTGTGGGTGTGGGAGGTATTTATAAATAGGCACCAATATGTTTCTCACCATACAGCTCATTTAAATTGCTTTTGTAGAGTATCAAACATATTTACAAAATTAAGTGTCTTTATATAAAAAATTTACTATGGTATTCCTTGTATGCCAGGAACTAAATCTTAGGCATTGGGCATTAGTTCAAAAGGAGTATCTGTCTTTCTGAAAGAAATAGAGAATACAGTAAGAGAACTGGTATAATTCTTTAACTTACTGACATTGCAAGATGAGCCCAACTTTTTATATTTTTGCGTATTTTTAATTCTTTTCAGTGAGGAAGTCTTCAAGATTTTGCATTAAAGAAATTAACAGGTCCATAGAAAAGTTAGGCAATTCGGGTACTTTAAATATAAGATGTGACCAAGAATTTCAGTGGCTCCAATTCACTATAGTTCATTGAGAGTATGCCATGAGTGAGAGGTAGTCATTGGCTCAAGCAAGGACACCAGTCATAAGAAACCCGATTCTTTCATCTGGTTTCACTCATAGGGGCTCAAAATGTCACAGCTGGAGGGCTAGACTTTATCTAAGTAGGCTATCGTAAGGCATTGATAAGTTTGAGATTTACCCTCTAATTCATAGAATATTTGCTAAATATCTAACATGTGCCAGGCATTGCACTATGCACTATAGGTAAAGAAATAAGCAAGACAGACCCAGTAGTAACCCTGAAAGACCTTATAGTCAAAAAGGGATGATTAATAATAACTCTCTTAAAGAAACCAGTGCTGTGGGACAGAAAAGACAGCTTGAGAACATCTAGAAGAAGTATCTGATGCAGACTTGGTGGGTCAGTGGGGCTTCCCAGAGCCTGAGTGAGAGATACCTAAGCTGATACACAAAGGATAAGTAGAAGTTAGCCAAGCAATAGCGATGAAGGAGGAGTGAGGAGTATGCAAGTTAGAGGGTGTGTGGGTAGGGTCTGCTTTTGGGTCAAAAGTGATAATAGATGGAGTAGGGAGGCCCATGGATGCCAGATCATGGTGGGCTTGGAGACAACGTTAAGGAGGAGCATGGCCATTACACAATGTCAGTGGGGAGCCACAGAAGGAGTTTAATCAGAATGACTCGATCAGATTTGTGTCTAAGGAAAATCACTCTACAGGGTTGGCAAATGGATTGAAGGGCAGAAGAGTAGACTGGTAGCAGAGGGGCAGGCAAGGAGGCTGAACAATAATCTGGACTACACTACTAGTGAGCATGATGAAGTGTCTTGGACCACTTCCTGAGATTATTAGGCGATGCATCCAAAGTGATTGATCGATTATGGGGAATGAAGCAACAGAAAGAGTCAATATTGTCCCTAGATTTACGTTAACAGAAATATGAAGAATATGCAATAGATAGTTAGAAAGGAACTCTTCTCAGTTTGGAATACTAAAAACTTGAAGGTGTCTTAACAAATAGGAAGTCCTTAAGAAGACAAAAGTATAATGCCACAAATAGTTCAGAGTATTTTTTTTTCTATCTTAGATAAAGGATGTCTTTTCTAACTGTAAAGACCTTGGTGTCACTAGATGCTTTTTAATATTCATTCAGGAGCAGAAATTTAGAGTTTTAATCATCAGTCTAACAACAGTTGATAGGCTACAGATAACTGAATATTTCTCTTTGACACTGGTTGATGAAAATGTGAAAGTGTTACTGCTAAAATTCATGCAAATTCTTACTGAATAAAGGAAAATTGTGTGCACATCTGTATTTGTTTCTAGGAGATGCTCAAGAATGTCTGCTTACATTCTGATCAATGACTGTAGTTTATTCAGCCCCTAACTGTGAATTAAATATACAGCTGCTGGAAATGTCAGCAAAGTCAGATGAAAGAACTCTGATTCACTGCTGTTATACTATTAAATAATCAGTGCTTGTGTCACATTGAATTGATGTAAAAGTGCCTTGTGACTGTTCTTCCTACTGGGAGCACTTTTAAACTACTCTCCTTTTTACCTACATTAAAATCAAGAGGGCAGCATGGAAACATTATAGATACAGGTCACTTCATTATAGAATGAAGTCACTTTTTCCAAATAGATGGTTCAGTCTTTCCTGTTTGTCTGCTTTTTGTGATAATTCTTGAACATCCCAGCTGATTCTCATCAAATCTGGCATACTAATAAAGAAAAATTAGGCTGGGTTAGAATTGTGAATCAAGCCATCATCCTAAAACAACAAATGATAGCCAATATTTTTAATTTTTTTACAGCAATCATATCTGTATACAGAAAATGTCTTTTCTACGGGTATTTGATTAGAAGTTGCTGAAATACAAACTGACTTTTTACAAAATTGGCCTCTCCTAATAAAACAAAAGGCAAAACTCTTTTGAGAAAGTTACCATTGTCAACAAAGCACAATCGTCAGGGGGACTGAAGGAGGAAAGAGGTGGGGGAGGGGATGTGAGAAAGTAAAAGACTACATTTTTCACTGTCCGTTATTACATAACGTGATTATTAAACCTAACCACTTTCAACATCATTGGGAACTTCCTAAAACTGTTACTGATAAGAAGAAAAATCCGCCCAACAAATACCACTATAAAGGGTTGTACTTGGCAAAGATATTTCTATATGATTATCAGCAGCAGGGTTCACTGTTATTTCAGCTATTAGAAAAATCCCCATACAGCAAGCGTTTTCTTTCCTCCCTGTCATTTTCACAATAATCCTCTAGAATAAATAGGTCTTATCACAGTCCTTAAACTGTGCATGGGCAGGAGAGGAGCACAGAGAATTTGAAGAATGGAAAGAAGAGACTCTGAGCTGATTTAACCACAGAGCTTTTGTTTTTCCTCTAGGTAGTGACATCAGAAGTCCCTGAGTTTAAATCCATGGTGTGTTTTCTTTCTTGAAAAAGTTATTTGGTACCTTTGAGCTATAGTTTCCACTTCTATAAAATAGCGCACAGCAACAGATTTCTCATGGGATTGTTGTGAAGATTAAATGTATACAAATTGCCAGTCACATCCTAAGTGCTCAAGAAGAACAAAACAGCAAGAACAAAATATGATAGTCAGATAGAAAACAAGCCAGGAGACGTTAAGAGTTAGGCTAATTCATGTATTACTCTTGCCCCTTTCTCCTAATGGGTTCAAAGTATTTTTTCATATGTTAATTTCTTTTTGTTGTTTCAGAATATTGGACTACTATTTTCAGCAATGTATTTATTATGACACAATTTCAGGTCAGCAGAGCAATTTGGACTTCCGATGCAGTGCACTCTTTTATATTATCTGTTACTTTATTATCCATTAATAAAGCAGTTTTGTGAAAGATACCACATAGCAAATTATAAGATATTTTAAGAATGTAAAATGTAAGTTTATGGTTAAAATCTGTAATATTTTGTGGGCCTACACTATCTGTGGATTTAGGATTTTGAAGATCATGAATATTCTTTCCAATGTCCTATAGTCATGTATTCTAATGTTTTACAAACATCCACATATAAATCATTAGTTTGGTTCAACTTCTTCAAAATATTGTTTTTCCTTATTTAATTGCATTCCTTTCTTTCATTTCAGTCCTAAAACCCTATTTTCTGTAGACAACAAACACTAAATTGTTTTAGTGCAAATAAGAAAACTCGAACTATTTCCAAAATAGTGCAATTGATTTCAGAAAAGTGCAATATGTTTCCTTGTTGACAGGAGTCACATGGGATGGATTGCAAATGTACCCTCACCTAACACATCAAAGAAAACTAAGAGCCTTCAAAGAAAGGCAGGAAGGAAGAAAGGAGAAAAGATGAAAGGCAAAAAAGGATAGGAAGGAGTGGCTCGCATCTGTAATCTCAGCAATTTAGGAGGCTGAGGGAGGAAGATTGCCTGAACCCAGAAATTCGAGACCATCCTGGGCAACTAGCAAGACCCCATCTCTAAAAAAAATTTTTTTTTTAATTTGCTGGGCATGATGGTTTGATCTTAGTTACTCAGGAGGCTGAGGCAGGAGGACCACCTGAATTCAGGATTTTTAGGCTGCAGTGAACTATGATTGTGCTACGGCATGCCAGCTTGGGTGATAAAGTGAAATGGAAGGAAGGAAGGAAGCAAGGAAGGAAGGAAGGAAGGAAGAAAGGTAGAAAGGTAGGCCAGGAGGCAGGGAGGAAAGGAGGGAGAGAAAGTTTCCTACCCTAGAACCTTGGAAACGTGTCAAGATAGACAAGGTCATTTACCGATTATTGTTTCTGAGAGTTGAAGGTTTCACTTTAATAAGATTGTCCAAGTCTTGGCTGTTTAAAAGAAAGAGAGAAAAGAAGTTCAGATTAGTAATAGGTTTTACAGTTGTGCTAGGTCAATAAAGCAACATTATAAATCAATTCCATCCAGGGCAATAGACAAATAAAAACATGAACTGACTGCTTCTGTTTGATTACCTCTGATTGTTTCTGATTACTGCAGGATTTACTTTGATGAGGTTATCAAGATCTTGGTTTCTTTAAATCAAAAAATAAAAAGAAAGCAAGTTAATTATGAATTTTTTGGGTAATATCCTTAAGGCTATAAATCTGCTTGAAGTAATAATAAAATTTAATATTCTTTCTGACCAAAACACATTAAAACAACATAGTTTTATTACCTTTGGTTGGTTGTGAAATGTTCAGGATTCACTGTGATGAGTTTATCAAGATCTTGTTTCCTTTAAGTGGAAAAAATATTATAGCAACTTGGGTTAGAAATAATCACAGGTTTAAGATAATTGGAAATGGAAAGAAAGGATAATAGTATGAGACATATTGTTTTGGTATTGACTAACCATGTAATATGTTTTCTAATCAATTTAGAGGATGAAGAATTATGCCTTATCAGAAGAAAACTTACTATAATTTTATACATTTTATTGTCAGAGCCTGTCTACAAGGATATGCTGGTTAAGTCGCCATGGCAAACATCTGGTAACTGACATTGTTCATTCCAGAATGTATTAACATTATGAAGATATCAACTGATTTTAATATCCTTATTTTCAAAATCAGGTTCACCAACTAAGGATATCAATTTTTTTAAAAAATAAACTCTAAAATGGGGATTATTCTTAATATAAGGTTTAGCAAAGAGAATTCCAGCAGTCCACCAAAATTGTGGGTTTTTTCCTCTTTGATGACTGAAAAACTGATTTAAACTCAGCTGTTCATGGTAACATAAGTTACATACTCTGAAAACTGTCCACTCTCATTTGAAACTCTTCCTGATTCTCTTCTCAGCCCCAGAACAGTATTTCCTCCCATATAGTTTGCTACAATTCACTGCCTCAGCATAACACCTTGTTTTAAGGGTCAGAAAGTAGTGATTATTCAGTGTTCCTCTGAACCCACTTTAATACTTATTCAGGGAAATACATGGCAGTTATCAGGGCAAGAGATTGCAGAACTGACAGCACCTGCTTTCAGCACCATCTGGGACATAATAGACATGTACTTCTCCCCGCAACGGTGCTTTTTCCTTATATTAAAATAAAATACATTTTATTCATCAAAAAAATGATGTAAGGTTAGGGACTGAAAGAGCATCATTTAGAGATGAATCATCAGAAAGTCTGAGAAAAGGTCTGCCTTTTCTTCCCAAGCCCTCAACATTTCCATAGAATGTTCAGGTTTCATTTAGTTTGATTTATTCCTCATGGTTCTCACCTCTCCATAGTCTGTGGGAAGGCTCTAACTGAATTTTCACTGTTTTGAGCTTTCTTCAATGATAATATTCTCAATTGAACATAATAAACTGATATTTATAAATACTATTAAAATAATGATTGACATATGAGAACTAACTATCCACAACGGAATTTCCTCATGTAAGTTGATGGCAAAATCTAAATAAAATAAACTGTGAGAGAGATCCAAGATGGCTGATCACTAGCAGCTCGGAATTGTAGCTCCCAGTGAAAGCGCAGAGAACGAGAGGACGCCACACTTTCAGATGAATTCTTGTTGCTCACGCACTAGGAGATTCCCAGCGGAGGAGCCCCACGGGTTGCCAGCATGACTCTTGTGACTAGCGAGGTGGTTTTGCCAGCACATTGGAGCGTCGGTTCTTGGTGCAGCGGAGGAGCCCCACGGGTCGCCAGCGTGACTCTTGTGACCAGCGAGGTGGTTTTGCCAGCACGTTGGAGCGTCGGTTCTTGGTGCAGGGTCAGAAAAGCACCATCAATCTTAATGCCGCTGTTTTAGTCGGCACAGTGAGTTGCTCAGATTTCGGCACTGAGAATCAATAAGTTGGACGTCCACTCAGAAACTCAATTACAAAGATGGTAATTATAAAGACCACAGATGGATAAATCTACAATGAAGGGAAGAAAACAGCCAAAAAAGGCTGAGAATACCCAAGATCAGAACGTCTCTCCCTCAGCAGGGGATCACAGTTCCTCATCAGCAATGGAACAAGGCTTGATGGAGAATGAGTGTGTTCCAATTACAGAAGCAGGCTTCAAAATGTGGATAATAAGAAACTTCTGTGAATTAAAATAATTTATTCTAACACAATCCAAAGAAACTAAGAACTTCGAAAAAAGGTTTGATGAAATGTTAACAAGAATACATAATTTAGAGAGGAATATAAGTGAATTGATGGAGCTGAAAAACACAATATGAGAACTTCGTGAAGTATGCACAAGTTTTAACAGCCGAATTGATCAAGCAGAAGAAAGGATATTAGAGGTCGAAGACCAACTCAACGAAATAAAACGAGAAGACAAGATTAGAGAAAAAAGGATAAAAAGGAACGAGCAAAGTCTCCAAGAAATATGGGACTATGTGAAAAGATCTAATCTACGCTTGATAGGTGTACCTGAATGTGACAAAGAGAATGAATCCAAACTGGGAAATACACTTCAGGATATTATTGAGGAAAATTTTCCCAACCTAGTTACGCAGGATAATATTCAACTCCAGGTAATACAGAGAACACCACAGAGATAATCCTCAAGAAGAGCAATTCCAAGGCACATAATCGTCAGATTCACCAGGGTTGAAATGAAGGAGAAAATACTAAGGGCAGCCAGAGAGAAAGGCCAGGTTACCCACAAAGGGAAGCCTATCAGACTTACAGCAGATCTCTCAGCAGAAACCCTACAAGCCAGAAGAGAGTGGGGACCAATATTCAACATCCTTAAAGAAAAGAACTTCCAACCAAGAATTTCACATCCAGCCAAACTCAAGCACACAGAGATTTCATCACCACCAGGCCTGCTTTACAAGAGCTTCTGAAAGAACCACTACACATAGAAACGAAGAAACAGTATCAGCCTTTCTAAAAAATACCAAAAAGTAAAGAGCATCAGTATAATGAAGAATTTACATCAACTAATGGGCAAAACAGCCAGCTAATATTAAATGGCAGTATTAAACTCACATATATCATCATTAATTCTACATTTAAATTGACTAAATCCCCCAATCCAAAGACAGACAGGCAATTTGGATAAAAAACTAAAACCCATTGGCATGCTGCATCCAGACCCATCTCACATTCAAGGATACACAAAAACTCAAAACAAAGGAATGGAGAAAGATTTACCAACCAAACGGAGAGCAAAAATAAATAAATAAAAAGCAGAAGTTACAATTTTTGCCTCTGATAAAATAGTCGTTAAAACAACAAAGATCAAAAGAAGCAAAGAAGGACATTATATAATAATAAAAGGATCAATGCAACAACAAGAAGAGCTAAAGATTCTAAATATATATGCACCCAATACAGGAATACCCATACATACAAGACTAATAAAGAGACTTAGACTCCCACACAATAATAGTGGGAGACTTCAACATTAACATTAGACAGATCAATGAGACAGAAAATTAACAAGGATATCCAGGACTTGAACTCAGTAAACTTGAGAATCAAGAAGTTCTTTACTTGAACAAGTAAATTTAATTAACATTTATAGAACTCTCCACTTTAAATACACAAAATATACACTCATATCAGTACCACATCATATCAACTTAGAAGTTTAAACGAAATATTGGTTGGCTCCTTGTTTGTTATTCTCTTCCCTCATTTTCTTTTATGTCTCCATTATCAAGCACAATTATAGACATACCCATATTAGACTGCATTCTAGCCCGGGCAATAAAGCAATACCCCCATTCTCTCTCCCTCTTCCTCTTTCTCTTTCTTCCTCTTCTTTATTCTTTTCCTTATTATTCTTTTTTTCTTTCTCTCTTTAAAAAAAAACTAAACTGTGTCAGAAATACAATAGTCTTTAAAATGAGGTTAATTGCACATATTATTTGAAAAAATACAAAGATAAAACTTTGTAGACAGTATGTTCAAAAGCCACACTTAAAAAAAATACATAAAATTAATCACAATATTTATTAGTGTAACTACAGACAATATTTATGTGTCAGCATAATCAAAAGTAACATAAAAAAAAAAAAACAAAAAAACCCACAAGAACTTACATTTTCACTGTCCTACTGAGCATAAAAATTTGATTTACCTAATAATTAAAATGATATTCCAACCACTGTTACATAAAGCCCAGTAGGAAATGCATTTTACATCACAGCCTAATACTGTCTTTTACAGACAAACAGACACACTCACAAACACAAAGACATAAAGTTTACAAAATAATATTCTTACTACATAAGAACTCTCATATTTTCTGTTCAGTTCATTCCATTTAATTAAGAGAAACATGCTGATTGCTCTGAACTAAGTTAATTACAAGACCCTTTAATGGGTTGCAACCCACATTTGAGAAACACTAGCTTAGAAAACATAAATACATGCTATATTCTACCACCACTCCTCTAAAGGCAACACTGTGTGTCAGGAAAACAAAAATCTCAGGAACAGTCCTGAATTGCTTTGATTGATCACAACATGCAATTTTTGAAAACAACAAATACGCAGATTTTTTTCAGGCCCTAGATCCTGCAAAGCAATCATATCTAAATTTTATCCAAGAAAATGGAACATTTTCTCTCTCAAGTTACTGTTTTTATTTAGTTAGCTTTAAGAATGTTATAGGGATACATTAGGATATTTAGGTTATTATTACTTTCATGCAGTTTAAAAGCTGTGAAGTGTTTTGTAATCATTTGCACATTTGTGCCGTTGTAATATATGAAGTACTGTTTCAAGTGACCCTGTGAGAACAGTAAAAAACACCTCCTGGCCATCCCACAGCAAGAGCAACAATCCTATTTTTACAGCCTCTGCTATTTCCCTAGGTGCTTAATTAATTTTTATATATTTTAGGATCTAAGTCTGTGTGCTGGGTTGTAAAGACTAGGCATTGGCCTGGGAGTTAGAAGATCTCACAGATGACTATGAGATTTTTGCCCCTGGTCCCAGTATTCTCATCTATAAATGAGGAGACTGTATTGGATAATCTCCAAGGCTCTGTCCATTTCCAAACATCTCCTCCTAGGATTCCATAAATATGAATTTTACTGCCTCTGTGTTTATTAGTTAGCTCTTCAATATCACTCCTTTTTTAAAATGCAACTCATTGACAATATATTCTATATTCAGCAAGCAGTACATGAATGCTCCAAAATGTTATATATTAAACTGACAACCTGTTATTGTCTTGGAGTAACATCTCTGTGCCCCTGGTACATAATTAGCTTTAATCTATGTTAATTGCCTGTTGTTAACAAGATGGGGTTTGTCTACTGAATTCTCTTTTTGGCTTCCATAACCTGTAATTATACCTAGTATATAAGTAATGATACCTAGTGGTAAGCTGTGAATCCAGCAGGTGCTCAGTAATTACTCACTGCCTAAGAGATCACAGAACTACTATCAGTCTTCCACTAATTTTTTCTGTGACCCTGGTCAAATCACTTAACCTTTCTGAATCTTAATTTCTTCTTCTGCAAAATGAGTAGATTCATCTGGAACATTGGTTTTCAAAATTATTCAAACTACTGGGCCAAGATATCCTAAGATTTCTTCCCTCCATCTCTAAAATTTTACAATTTGTATACATACCAACAAAACTTAAAAGGGGAAATCATGAAACCATTCTTAAGGTACAAATATATATAAAACAGCAATGTATCATGATACTAAATATTCCTTTAACAATAGTCAAAAGGTGAGTTTCATGATCTTACTGACATTACTTCAAGAATTATTAAATTTTAGGTCCATATCCTTGCTGAGCACAGTAAACCTCTAAAGAATAATGAATCTCATAAAATTTCCACTGACTACCAGAAAACTCTTCTAAAATGAGGTAGATGATATTGTTAATGATTAGTCTAATGGAAGTGTCTACGTCTTTTTAATAACCATCATTAATACATTGTTATCAATTTCAAGGACAAAAGTATTCATTTCAATACCACACAAACAAAACAACAAAACATTAACAGCTCCTAGACTATGTTCCTTCCTGCCCATTTCTCACATTGCTCTGTTCAGTTGCTTTACTGGAGGCTTAGAGAAGTGAAGGCACCACAATACATTGTTTCCAGCTCCCTCTCTTTCTTGGCAATTAACAAATATTGAGACATCTAGGTTTTCACCTGTGATGATAGTTTAAGATTTATATTCAACTTGCCCATAGAATAATTCTACATTTATATTAATATTGGGTTTATTTAAGGAGAAGCAAAACAAAAAGTCGCATCCATCTCTTACCCATCAGTGTTTTTGACAGCTTTGGGGTTGACATTAGTATGTTCATCAAGATCTTTTTCACTGCTAAAACAAAATTAGAGGAAATCAGCAAATTTTATACTGGCATTTATTTTTTGTTTTGACAGTTGTAAATCAGTCACTAGAATCCTAGTGTAAAAAGTAATAAGTTTACTGAGTTTCTTATATATATATATATAAGCTATCATTTTTTAATCCTCAAAACAACTCTGTGACATTAATATTATCACCCCCTCCCCACTTATAAACAAAGATATTGCACTTCAGACAGATTACAGGCACTCCCTGGGGCCAGATACCTAAGAAGTAGATGAGGTTGAACCAAAATTCCAACCACAGCAACTGGACCCCAAACTCTACACTCCTTCCCCCAACACCCTCCATCTCATGTTCATAACAATCTCTTACATCCACACAATGCTTTTCACCAACATTGTCTTCACAATTATTCAATGAGTGATAGCTTGGGGTTTCTCTGCCATGATTTTATTAACTTTTGTCCAATGTATAATGGATCTTAATTTCTCAAGAACAGAAGTAAATTCAGTGTCATGCAAAAATATTCTAATCAAGCATAAGAACATTATGTTGTCAGTTTTCTTACAAGTCATTTAAATATTAATCCCTGGATTTGTAAGAGAACAGAAAGCCAATATTTACTCATTTATCCAGTTTTATGAACCTGTAATTTATTATTAATTATAAATTTATGGTTATAATCTAGTTATGCTAATATTGTGTCAAAGGAATTTCTCAAGTAGTAATTACACAGAATTAGCTTCCATATTTTCATTTTCAACAGTAATATAAGGAAATTAATAAAAGCAACAATAGAAAAATCTATCCAGCATTATTACACAACATGTTCTCATTTTTTTATGTCCCCTTTCAAAATGTCTTTAGCCAAATAATTAATCTTATTTTGGGGCATAAATTGGAGACTTGCTAAGAAGTCTTCAATAATCTTAATACATTTACCTTTTGTTTGCTGAAGGGATCACTTTGACAAGATTGTCCAATTCTTGGTTCCTAAAAAAAATGTAAGTTTCAATAGCTAAGTCAACTAAAATCAATAATTTGTATATTTTTTCAACCTTAATATTAATCAAATGACTGTTGCTAATTTAAAACTTTATCTTTACTTAAATTTTTAGCCTTATATAAAAACAGGTGGCTACTGTCAATTCATTTCTTGCATACATTTGTAAAAATGATAATTTAATTTCATTTTATTCTTGTTTCTTTCAAGTCAACTTCAAAGCAGAATTATTCCTAAACACTTTATTTTACACAAAATATAACAGAATTAGACCATTTAGAATATTATCTGGAGGTTATAAGTGAGAGAAAATATAAAATTATTCACTATTTCCATATGTTCCTTGCTTCCCTTCTTCCAAACCAAACAAACAAAAATTGACATTATTTATTAAAAAGAAAAGAAAAAACAGTTATTTTCTAAGTTATAAAAGTAATATATATAATGTAAATATATAATATCACACTACTCCAAGATATTAAATCACTTCAGAATCACACTTTATGCAAAGCTAGATTAGAGCAAGCAAGACTTCAGTTTATATAATTTATGTTTTTATTCTAAACACTCAAATAGGCTCTAAAGAGATGCTGCTGTTATCACAGTAATGATACCAACCCTAACATCAAAAGACCTGAATAGAAAGCTTAATCTGATATACTTTATTATTGGACAATATGTTATATATCCTGGAGATAAAATAATTGCAAAGACTTATATCTTGACTGATCTATAGGTTCATTTTACCATGTGAGTAGTCTTCCATATAAATTATTATATTCTATTACATTGAACTATTTAAAATTGCCATTGTTGGTCAAAAATAGCTGAATGTCAGTAATTTTATAATATTCAACCTCCCAGGCAAATGAATTTGCTATCTTCTTCACATTGAGTAGTGCTATGGGATTTAACAATGAAGAAAAAATTGTAAGAGTAATAATAATACTAATAGATAATGTGTAAAAAGCACTTGAACACTAAGTGTTTTATGAGCATAATCACATTTAATTTTTTTAGTAACTCATGAAGAAATGAACTCTTACAATTCTGATTTTACGTATAAAAAAGCTGAGGCTTAAAGGCGGTTAAGTAATTTGTCAAAGATAACACAGCTACCAAAAGGTTTTCTGAACTCAAAAATCTTAGCACCAAGTAAGAGAAACAGACACACAACCAAATACATGGCAGTATGTGGCTACCAAAATACAACCTCAAACATTATAAAGGAAAGATTGTGAATAATCAGGCCATCTACACCTTTAGAAACTAAGTTATCTTAGGAGAGGGAAAAGACAATTGTCTTTCACTGAATCTTAATCTGTAATGTAATTATATGGTCTCTAGATTTAGTGTCTGTCCCTCAATAGTAAAAATAAAGTTGTATTAATATATGCTAAATCAGTGGGAGGATTAGGCTATATTTCAGAATTCACCTCAACTACATTCAAATTGGACTCTCTTTGCCTGACCAGACAAAATACTATGTACTCTAGGGGTCAGCAAACTACGGCCCTCAAGCTAAATCCAACTTGCAGCCTGGTTTCATAAATAAAGTTTTATTGGAACACAGCCATGCCCACTTGTTAACAAGGTATTATGGCTGCTTTCACACTATTGGCAGAGATGACTAGTTAAAAACAGAGAGAGTTTTGCCCCCCGAAACCAGAACTATTTACTATTAGCCCTTTAAGAAAAAGTTGCTGACCTCTAATCTAGTCTAAATAAGCTCTGTTCAATAGCCACATACTGTAAAATAGACCATATTCCAATAAGCAAAGTAAGATAGGAAATTATCTTGGTATCTTTTATGTCTAACTCATGTTCAAATTCATATAACAATATACATTTACAAGTTGATGGTTCTGTTATGCTTCTTTATTTACTTAACATGATACGTCTTAGAGAAAATTCTTTCTATAAAGGACAAATGTCATTCTTTTATCAATGAACTGCAAATAATTTTTTTAAATGACTTCCCAACTTTAAGAATTGTTTGGGTGGTAGGCAATAAGAAGAGAGGGAATACATGATGGAGGAAGAAGAAGGAAGAACTTTTTTTTTTATCATATGAAGACCTTTCTTTAGGCTACTTAGATCTGGGAAATTGTTTGGGGGTTATGTTTTGTCTCATGGGGAATCTCCATTAATTTTTTAAAAAATCCTAAGCATGGAGCACAAATCTCATACTGGTAAGAGATCATTCCTGTATTTCGAGGAATTCTCTCTCCCATAGCCAGAGAACCTTGAGCAAGTGCTTGAACACCAGATTTCTGACACAGGAGTTGTTGATTTGGGTTCCATCATTGTTTGTCTCTATGGTGGGACAATGCAATTTATCATATTTTAAAGTTGATTAGAAAAAAAGGGAGAAATAGAGCATTCCATAAACCTTACCCTTGGTTAGCTCTGTTTCTTTCAGGAGCCACTTTGATGAGGATGTCGAGATTCTGGTCCCTTGAAAACATAGAAAACCAGATTAGTGGTAGATTTACATCAAATATTTTCAAGTATTTGTTAACTGAAAAATACTTTTATTAAAAATATTTATTAAAATAATAAAATTAAAGATCATCTCAGAGGGCTGGGGGTTTTCAGTTTTGACTATGAATGTACATATAGGGCCCTAACTAAAACTGGAGAGAAATAACGAATAAGAACTTTTAGAAAATGTTTGATGTGCCAGGCCAGGCACTCTTCTTAGTGATTTACATGATTTGTCTCATTCAATCCTCACACCAGTCCTATGACATAGGAAGTATTATTATTCCAGTTTCGTAGCGGGAATGACTGAGACTCAGAAAGCTTAAGTAATTTTCCCACATAGCTAATGGTAGCAGAGCTGCGGTTTAAAGCTAGGTAATCTCTCTGCAGAATGCCTGTGCCTTACCATAACACCAAACATCTTACTGGAACTTAGTAACTGAATTAGCCTTAGGAGAGTTGAGAGAGCTCCTGGTGCAATTTCCTCGCTTTGAGGATGAGAAACTGAAGCCTAAACAGAAGTGACTAGTTCAAACACACACATGTCATAGGAACAGAGAGGCCAAGAACCCACAACTATGGGGTCCAGTCTAGTTCTCTTTCTCCTCTACTGTGTCATCTCCTCTGCGTAAGAAAAATAATAAATCAATAAACAAAAATGTCCTGTCCATTCTAGGAGAAAAACTATATTCCTGATTAGTCAAAGAGTACCTTCATTGTATCAGAAATTGGTTGACTAAAATTTTTAACATTTCAGATGTGAGGTGGGCAGGGTTACATGGCTTTTCTTGAAGAATCGTTGGGTTCACCATCAGTCATTTAATCATTTTAATTAAAGCTGAAATAATGCTTTATTTATACTTCTGGTCATTGGTTACTATGAAAAAAAAGGGAGATTACTAAATCTTACCCTGGGATACTTTTTTCTGTTCCTGGATTCACTTTGATGAAGTTATTAACGTCTTTGGAACTTCAAACAAAAACCAAAAAACATGATAAATAAAAATGGGATTAAATCAATTGGCTGTTTTGATTTCAAGGATATTTGTACTTAAGATAAATTTTACTATTAAGTTTTGAGAGAAATTTATACCAGTCTATGCTCTTAATTTAAAATACTAAAATTTGTGACCTACTTACCAATCGTTGGTACACTGATGTGGTTTTTCATTTATTCCCAAATAAAACCATATAATTAGGGCAAGACTCAATTTAAAAAAAAATCAATTAAAAAATGACATAATAATTTGCTAAAACCTCTCACCTGGTTCCCCTAAGCATTCCATCTAATGCTACAGCTATAACTAAACTGTTTTGTTAATAATTTCCATTTGTAATATCATTTTATTTTAAATGATTTGATACCCATTATTTCATTAGTTCCTAACAACTATCAAGCGACAAAGAACAAACATCATTATTATTATTTGACATAGTGTCTGGCTTCATCACCCAGGTTGGAGTGCAGTGGCTGGATCTCGGCTCACTGTAACTTCCACCTCCCGGGTTCAAGCAATTCTCCTGTCTCAGCCTCCCAAGTAGCAGGGACTACAGGTGCACTCCACTATGCCTGGCTAATTTTTGTATTTTTTGTAGAGACAGGGTTTCACCGTGTTGGCCAGGTTGGACCTGAACTCCCGATCTCAAGTAATCTGCTCACCACAGCCTTCCAAAATACTGGAATTACTGGGATTGCAGGCGTAAACCTCCCTACCCGGCCAAACATTATAATCCTCATTTTATAACTAAGGAGGCTGCAGCTCTGCATTCAAGGGATGTGTTCAAAGACACCAAGCTGCTAAGTAATGGAGTTCAGAGTTTCTGATCCCAATCCAAAGGCTTTTCAACACACCTTCTTTCCTGAGTGCCACAAATGGATGGGGAACAGGAAGGAAGAAAGGTAAGACATAATCCTCACCCTTGGTTACTTCTGTTTACTTCAGGAGTCAGTTTGATGAGATTGTCGAGGCTCTGGCCCCTTTAAAACATTGAAGAAATAGGTGAGACTGACAAGAAGAAGATAAAACTATTCATTAAAACTCAGAAGCAGTGTAAACAGTCATTGAGATCGTGTCAAGGAGTTGAAGACTGAAGATTGTGAAAGGTGGCTAGGCAGAAGATATAGGGATTTACACACCTCTGAAGTTCATTGAGACTCAGGGAGACAGTATTTTAGTCTCAGAGCCATTTGGCCACCAGCAAGTATTGTACTAGGATTCTCTCTACTTATCTGCACTAAATGCTATAATTTTAACTTTTGCCAGGTGCATGAAACATTTTTGTAACTTAGTCTATACACTTGTTTCATGAAATGTTCCAGAAGGGATGCTCTTTATCATCCTCCAACACGTGAACTTTAAAACCAACTTTGGAGAATCCATATTTTGTAAAATTGGCATTCATTAGCCAATTTTCTATCAGAAAACTGTATCAAGATTAATACAACAATTTGTTAAAAATCTCTGATATACAACCCAGGAATTGCTTCTGGTACTTATAACTGTGCATTAGAACTATGAATTTTGACTAGTTGTTTTTAGCAACAAACAATAGGAACGTTAAAATCGATGGAGTTTTGAAACATTCTCAAATGTAAGATATGACAAGTATAATATAAAGCGCAACACTCTGGCTGGGCATGATGGCTCATTCCTGTAATCGCAGCATTTTGGGAGGCCAAGGCAGGAGGGCTGCTTGAGCCCAGGAGGTCCAGGCCAGACTGGGCAACACAGCAAAATCCTGTGTCCATAGAATTTTTTTTTTTTAATTAGCCTGGCATGGTGATGCACGCCTGTGGCTCTAGCTACTCAAGTGGCTGAGGTGAGAAGATCCCCTTGAGCCCAGGCATTTGAGGCTGCAGTGAACCGTGATTGCACCACTGCAACCCAGCCTGGGACAGAGCAAGCCCTGTCTCAGAAATAAAATAAAATAAAAATTTCCACCAAGTTATCGAAAACATTTTAGTAGCTTCTTGTTACTCTTTAGTAGACCTCGGTTTCTGATCTTAGTGGAATTTTGTTTTTCTCCCTGCATTTACATGTGTTTTCTGCATACCAGTAGTAGGAATAAATGCTTCTCTAATCTATAGAGGATGCCATGTAGGGAAAAGAACATCCACAGGAAGGCCCTTTTGCAGTGCTTCTCCACACTCTGTGATTCTACTAAAGCTATATCCAGAGGCCCAAAGGTTTTGTCTATACAATATCAAGGATACAGATATTTGGAAGCAACGAGATGTCAATTCGAGTCCTTTATTTGTATCCAGATGTCTGAGAATGTGACATACAGACTCAAAGAAGCAATAATTAATTTGAACCTTTGTTATGCAAATAATGAAACAATTAGCCCCACAGAAGCAATCACTCTACTTCAGATTACTCCTTGTTGATTTCTGCCTAAATGAAGTATGTAGGATTTGAAGACCAGTGACTGAGAAAAAAAAATTCCCGGAATGTTATTTCCAGCCTTGTGTATTCAAAAAAATAACACAACAGTAAGCATTACAACTCCTCCCTTTGTGTTCACTGTGGAGTTTGCTTTGACTATATTGTTAGGACTTGATCTCTTTAAACATTAAATAAAGTACATAATAAAATAAGGTTATTTAAATTTCATAGTTCATTAAGTCCATAAAGAAGAGTGGGATGATTAATGTAGTAATGCACTAATTAACGTAATAATGTAAAGTAATATGTGAGTTTAACTATGTAAAGCAATACCTCATACTGTACATATCTTCAATGTTATGGGTTACTTCAATCCACAAACAGTTTTGGAAAGCCTACCATGGACCACACCCTGCCCCAAGCTCAGGATAAATGTGAACAGCACAGATACAGAATTAGACCTCATGCGGCTTCCATTCCAACTTGGGAAGAGGCAGGCAATATACAATTAAACAAATAAATGAATACCACAATTCCAAATAACAATATATGTTATGAGGAAGTTTAAAAACAGTGGTTGGTTCCTGCTGTGCTGGGGTTGGGGAAGGGGACAGTGACTTAATTATATTCTGTGGTCAGAAATGACCTGTTTGAGGAGGTAATGATACGGGAATAGAGCATCCCAGGAAGTGGGAACAGCATATGCCGAAGCCTTAAGGCAAGAATGAGCCTGGAATAGAAAAATATCGGCTTGGCTAGGTTTTACTGAGAAATTAAATGGCCTTTGCTTTGTTTTTAAAAGATCCACAGACTTCATTATGTTCAGAAAAAGGCAATGACAACTACTGTCCTCAAAAGCCCACAGGAAGTACACACATACAAATATAGACATATGTGCTGCACATATGCTCACACACACAGGTGCATACACATCATGTACATATGCACTCATATACAGACAAAAGCACGTGAATATTTATACATATACTCATGAAAATGCAAGCATCATGCATATGTATGCAATCACACACATGTGCAATGTACACACAAGCAATGCACACACTCATGTACATGTGCAATCACCTGCATATAGACACATGCATGGATACATGCACTCATGAACACACAAGTATACATGCACATGAGTGCACAAAAACATCTGTATGCATGCATATACACATGAGCACAGGGATGCCCACATATACACACAACAACATATGAAAAAACATAAGTCCTGATTGGAAATATTATTTTTAATAAAAATTAGAAAAGAAAATATGATTTTTCTTGGAAAGTCAAAATTTAATATTTGAACACTAAATTATGAAGAGAATATAACACCTGAATCTTCATTATTGCAATAATTACTTGTATCTACTATGTGCCAGGCATGAGAATCCTATGATTCCTCTTTTGTAAATGAGTACACTGAGGCACAGAGACACAGTTAGCAAATGACAGAGCCAGAATATGAACCTAGGTTTTTTGGATTCCCTGCTCACATTCACTACCTCAGGTTACCTCCCTGAACCACCCAGGAACTGAAGGACATCAATGCTTTCTTCTCTGTCTACTGGTTGCAAGCTTGTGCAAGCCTCCAGTTCACTGGGTTGCTGTGCCTCTGACCATGCCACACCTACACAAGCAGGGCAGGTGTGACAGTGGGTACAACAGCTTTTCAACTAGCTGAGCCTTTCCCCTGCCAACTGGGCCTGCAGGCACCCATGACACATTTTAGAATTGACAAATAATATCATGTACTGAGCTAACGAAATGGAAAAGAATTCAAGGGAAACCATATGGAATTATGTGTTACACTGTTTCCAGCAACATACCAACAAACTCAGTTTCAAAAATATTCCATCTGCCTTATAAAACATAAAAAAGAAGAAGAGGTAAGTTCTCCAGACTTACTTGGCAACTCATGGGTAAGAACAAAGCACACTTTGTTAAGCTCTTCATCTTTAAATACACACACACTACATGCACATACACACACTACACACAAATATACCACATACGCACATGTAGTTCATACATATACACACTCGCACATGCACTTATACATACACACACATACACTTATACACACACACATTTATACACACATGTACTTAAAACCACATACCAGATACACACACACACACTCAAACACAGACACTACTTATATCTACATACATATATTTATTACACACTTACACATACATACATGCATTTATATATAAACACACTACTTATATATTTACACATATACATTTATACACACATGTACCCACACTAGCATACAAAGAAACAAATACATTTAGTTCAGTAGAGAAGGCCAGCCAAAATTCCCATTTAGTTTCTTAAAATTATTTGATAACAAACTTCACCCAAGAATAAAATGAAGGAGATTTAGGTGTATCACTTGTACAGAATTACTTAATATAAAGTGCTTAGAGAAAAGAGCTCAGTTTGTTTTGGCTTGAATTCCAATTTACTGCCCTGAATATCAACACTCAGAATTCTAATGAGCTTGTAAATGCCAAACAAAGGGAAGGGGGACCTTTAAATGCCTTACCTCCTAATATTTTTATTTGTTTCAGGATCCACTTTAATAAGCCCATCCAGGTCTTGTTTTCTTTGAATAAGGAAATGAATTTTAATGAATGATGTTAAAAATAAAGCACTAATCAGATGAATAACGGCTGAAAAAATTAAGAAGTGGTAAATATGCAAGTTTTATATATCAATGTAAAGTTTTAAAGCTCTAAATGCAAATGAAAATTATTCTCTTACATCTTGAGCTGAAGACCATTTAAGGTTGCTTATTTGTTAGTAATAAATGTGATTTTTTGTTTTGTTCTCAGAATGCTAAGCATACATGAAACTTGTTATTTAACAAAATCGAACTTTGCCTTCAGATACATCTTGTTAGGACAGTCCAAGCAGGCAGCATTGAAATAACATTAAGTTAGATTAAGTTCTACACTGGACCCAGACAGTATAAATGTCTACTCAACAAATTGAATACAATCGCCTATTCTGTTTTTAAGTATTAGGAATAATGTTGAGAATCATAATTTAATAATAAAAATCATTTAACAATATTCATAAAGAGAATAAGAATGTATGTTTTCATATAAACTCAGCTATCTACCTAACCCAAACCATTTAAAATATTATTTTCTTCAGAATAGATTATGGTGAGCAAAAAAGGGCAAGAAAAAAACAGCTCACATTACCATGTGTCAGGTGTTTTCAGGACCAAATGATCAGAAAGACCTTTAATGTGATTATCCTTAACTTACCTTTATTAATTTCCACAATAGCATTTCATTTAATACCACATACCAAAAGTTATTGATTGACTCCCCAGTGGGACACAGCCCACCCCATTAAAATACTTGGATACCAAAACAGGCAGAAGCAAAATCTAAAAGGGACAGGAGGGGACAACAGAAGTACTGTGATTGGGTACCACTGCCATGTCCACACAGCTCTGAACAGGGAACAAAGCAGTGGGAGGTCCTTACTCCACCTCTGTGTGCCGCCTCAGCCCCACCTGGACTACCTCCTGAGACCACCACCCTTAGAGAATTTGAATTACCAGAGCTTCAATGATGGCTCACTCTTGGCCGTCTTTGTCATTTTGGAAATACATTTTGAAAATGTTGTTAAAACTGTGCATTCTTACAGCCACAAAGAAATTCAATTCAGTCACTTACCCCTGAAGACAAATCAAAGCCCAAAATCTGGGAGAAAAGTTTGTTTACTATCAAACGTTAAGACAATGCTTCAAAAGTTCACCGTTTTATTGAGGGCAAGGACGGATGGTCCAGTGGCCTATCTTTATTGTCTAATTCCATGCTAATAAAATATGGTTATAAAGCTAAAAAACCAAATTATTTTATCTTCTAATGGATTGACACTTAAAAAAAATCATAATCAAAGACATTAATTATTCTTACCCAGTGGTATTTTCATTTCCTTTGGGATTCACTTTGATAGTATTATCAAGGTTTTCACTTCGTCAAAAAAAAAAAGTTTGTCAGTTTCAAAACATTCCTATAATATTAGACACATACTTCTTCCATATTCCCAATGATTAATTCAAGCTTCTGGAGACAATTATTATGCAGACATTAAATTCACTTTTAGTATAAAAATTGCCTATCAATAATATAGTATAATTAATCCTTAGGATTTTATTGGGCTGTATGTAAATGTATATTTAGATGGAATACACTGTAGACTCTTTGAAGTGAAAATCAGGGCACCAGGGATTAGACACAGAAGAGAGAAGCCAAACATAAAGATGTGATGCTCTCAATATTGTATAATTAATATGAGAGAAAATAACCAACAGTTAGAGACATCTGATTAGTTCTTACCTTCTGCTTGTTTTATCCATCCTGGCATTCACTTTAACAACAGATTCCAGATCTTGTCTTCTTTGGAAAAAAACACCAAAACTTGTCAGTTAGGTTAGAGTACAATTTTTTCCAAAATCTATATAATCAAGAATGTCCCCGAATATGGTGTCAGGTGTTTTAAGGACCAAATGACCAGAAAGCCCTTTGATGTAATTATCCTTAACTTACTTTTATTAATTTCCTCAATAGCATTTCATTTAAAATAGTCTAAATCAGTTTAGAAAAGATTCTCAATGTGGATCTCATTGTGCAATTTTATCCTTTATATTTCTTAATTTAAATTAAAATTTGACACATCTCATAATTATTTAAGAAAATATGGAATAAGAGATTATGTAGCAGGTTTTCCTGCACCTACTTCAGTGCAACTCAATTTTTATACTACACTCCCATTTTTAATGAGGTATAAAAAGCTAATCTGAAAAAAAAGCCCCATCAAGGTATGAGATTTACTTACCCTTTCTCATTTTTTTCAGTCTTTTGATTAACTTTAGTTGGATTTCCAAGGCCTTGGGCTCTTTACAACATTGGGGGATAAAAAGAGAAAGAGAGACTGAGACAAGAGTGACTCAGTGATATATTCAGAATCTCTTAATGACAACAGCAGATTTCCCACAAGAGAAGTAAGATGCAATCAGTGCCTAAAGGATCAGAAGTCCTTAGAAATACTGAATTCAAGTGGTTCTATCCATCATGCAAATGCGTAAGTGGCAACCTGAGACTAAGATACCAACCATTACCGAGTTATGATAGAGTCAACTTAAAAGTTTTAACCAAGGTCTTGGCTTTTGCTTCTTGAAGATGGGTTGGTGGGAGGCTGATTTCAATACATGTATTGAGATATCATCTTATTTAAGCATGAAAATCAATACATCAGGGGTGGAAATCAATTGATCAATATTTTAAGTCTAAATACTTTGAGAATTCAGACAAGTCATTGCTCCTAAAAAGTTAGCGGATGTGTTTAAAGGGTCTGAAGTCACCTTGGTAAAGTCAAAGTAACTGTTACGGTCCCAGTGCTTTATATAAATGAAATAAAACTTTCACATGCCAATGACTCAAAAGTATTAGAGAATATGAAAGCTAATCTCTTTAAATTCGCCCAAGTTTCCAAGTGTTATGCTTTGCCATTTTCATCTGTCTCTGATTTCACTGTGATAAGACTGTCGACATTTCAAGTTATTTCAGTGTGAGAAAGAAGGAGGGAGGAAGGGAAGAAGGAAAAAGAACTAGGACTTTTCCCTACTGTGCAGACAAGATCAGTTATTCCTGCACCAAAACTCAGTAGTTATCAAATTATCCTAGATTACATATCTTTTTCCTAACTCACCAAATGATCTACTTGTGATGCGTATCCTACTTTTCCTATTGTCTTCCACTATTGCACAACCCTCCAAACTGTTTTTAAAAAATATCTGGAATCTCGGCCGGGCGCGGTGGCTCAAGCCTGTAATCCCAGCACTTTGGGAGGCTGAGGCGGGTGGATCACCAGGTCAAGAGATCAAGACCGTCCTGGTCAATATGGTGAAACCCCGTCTCTACTAAAAATACAAAAAAAAGTAGCTGAACATGGTGGCACATGCCTGTAATCCGAACTACTCAGGAGGCTGAGGCAGGAGAATTGCCTGAACCCAGGAGGCGGAGGTTGCAGTGAGCCGAGATCGCGCCATTGCACTCCAGCCTGGGTAACAAGAGCGAAACTCCGTCTCAAAAAAAAAAAAAAAAAAAAAAAAAAAAAAAAAATCTGGAATCTCATCTATTCCTAGAAAGCTCATATACCCATGTGAAAAAAAAGACTGTTTTTCAACTTCATCTATTCCACATTTGAAAAAAAATTTGCCTGTAATATGTGGACACGTTTACATCATAATCACATGCTGCTAATAAGCATTCAATGGCTCTGTGATGGTTACTGCCAACATCCTTCATCATAGAGACTTTGTTAAGTGTTCTGCATCAGAAAGGGTTGAGAACACATCTGCCAAGATTGACTTGGAAAGCTAGAATGCCATTCTGGGCATGGATTGGCACAGATAAATGGTTTTTAAAACTAACTGTGACAATAGAAATAATTCTCATGTTAGAAAGGCAAATTTCATGACTAACCAAATACAAAGTAAACAGCCAAAATGGAAGGCAAAAATTGTAGAGATCTCATAAATCCTTGCCCTTTGTCATTCTTGACTATTCTGGGATTTTCTCTGATAAAACTGTCACAGCTTTGGTTTCTTTCAACAAGAAAAATAGTATCAGTCATGTAAGTCAATTATGTAATATATCAGTCAGGCGACAACTATAAGGTAACCTTTTAAATGTTACCAGTTCAGTTACTGATCATTAATTAACTCATTGTATGATTTAAAATAAATAAAAGCATAGCTTTTCATTTTTAAGATATTGACAAATATGTATGAAGAGATATACATATGAAATGACTCAACCAAGATTTCAACTGAGAAGTGCCTTGATACACTCTAAAGACATCAGTGGTGGCCAGACATGGTGGCCCACACCTGTAATCCTAGCACTTTGGGAGGCCGAGGTGGGCAAATCACTTGAGGTCAGGAGTTCAAGATCAGCCTGGCCAACACGGTAAAACCCCATCTCTGCTAAAAATACAAAAATTAGCTGTGCATCTTGGCAGGCACCTGTAATCCCAGCTACTAGGAAGGGTGAGGCAAGAGAATTGCTTGAACTGGGCGGCAGAGGCTGCAGTGAGCTGAAGTAGGGCCTCAGAGCAAGACTCTGTCTTTAAAAAAAAAAGAAAGAAAGAAAAGAAAGACTTCAATGGTGACGGGCTATGCTCCCAGAACCTAAATGCCTTATTATAAATGTATTTAGTTTATAAACCAACCTATTTTCTGCTACCTGTAATAGCTAGTTGTGTTTCTTTCCATTTTAGATATAAAGGGGAACTGGGAGATCATCTAGGTCATAGCCCTCATTTCATAGAAGGAAAGAGAGGAAACAGAGATCTCCAGAAATTATACAACTGGCCCAGGGTCACCCAGATTGATGTTGGGGACAGAACAAGCACCAAGACATACACTATCTCTGGATGCCAGTCTGAGGCCTACTCCACCAGCCTGCCTGACCCTTGTCTTAAGTAGGAAGTCTCCTCCGGAAAATAGTATACTGTCCGGCATTCAATCAAAATGGTCTGTCTTCATAAAATCTTACCCTTTGCCATCTTTATCTGTCTGGGTGCTCACATAGATGAGACTTTCAAGGCTTTTAGCTCTGAAAACACAAATAAATTCACATAAAAGACTGCATATTGAAATGAAATTGTGTGGTATCTTGAAAGGTCAGCTGCAATAAACATTCTCCATGAATTGCTCATTTACTCTTATGAATGGAAGAGCAGAAATCCTTCTGGGTAATTATGTCTGAACTAAATGTACAATGCTGAGAGCACTACCCCATCTGCTAGTACATTTCCATGCCAGAGGATACAACCCCCTTGCAGTTAATGTCTGAAGGAATAAGAGGAGCAATCTGCAAGATAAGATTTTCAGAATTGAGACAGATGCACTTACCTTTTCTCTCTTTCATCTACCTTTGGATTTGTTCTGAAGAGACCATCAAGACCTTGATTCCTTTAAACGTATTGATTTAAAAAAAAACCTCATCAGTGGTAATGACCAATGCTTAACTCTATAAGAACATAGACCAGTTTACATCTAAGATAGGAAATAAAAGCTTGTTGAGGAAGATGAGCTATAATTATTGAAATAGGTATTTTCATAGACTCAAATTTTAAATTGTAGTGGGACTTAGAGAAAATAAAATAAAAGATATAAACTGGGGATCTGCCAGCCACAATAGGTCTATAGAGGTGTTGCTTGGGCTCATGGAGCATTTCTACCCTTTTAGCTTTAAAGCATGGGCTTTAAAGTGAGCCCATGTTTACAATGAAGGCGAGGATACACAGAAACCTGGATTTTCAGACTGGGTGCGGTGGCTCATGCCTGTAATCCCAGTACTTTGGGAGGCCAAGGTGAAAGGATCACCTGATGCCAGGAGTTCAAGACCAGCCTAGACAACATAGTCCAACCCCATCTCAAAAAGTTAAAACTTAGCCAAGCATGGTGGTGGTGCCTGTAGTCCCAGCTACTCAGGAGACTGAGAGGGAGGATTGCTTGAGACCAGGAGATGGAGGCTGCAGTGAATTAGGATTGTACCACTGCACTCCAGCCTGCGTGACAGAGCGAGATCCTATCTCTAAAACAAACCACAAAAGTGGATTTTCAGGATCTCCTGAAAATGTCCTGCTGTCCTGTAACACTAGACTCAGTGGAGACCCCCAGCTAGAGCTGAGCTGAGAAGCAGCTGTGTGCTTAGACAGGGCACTTGCTCTCCTTTTGGCCCAGTTCTCTCACTGCCTGTGATTCATACAGTCTCCTCCCTCACACCTGTCTGGCCTTAGTGAGCCGTGGAGTCTGTGACTCCTGTTCTAAAACCTCCTCTCCCTGTAAATGAGGAACCTGAAAAGTGGCAGATTTAAGTGATCATTGTTGCCAGAACAGGATATGAAAAACACTTATCATGATCCTCAGATCAGTTAATTCATTTGGCATTTGACCTGTTTTCTCCTTTTCTTTGGTCACTGTTTAGTGCATTAGTATGCAAAGTAACAGGGAGCTGGCTTACATCATACATACCTCAAACACAAGCCTTGACTACTCATTTTTCTCTCTTGACATATTTCAAGTTATACAATTATAACTGATTCAAAACAAGAAGATACAGACTGGGCAACATAGTGAGACCTCATCTCTACAAAAAATTAAAAATTAGCCACGTATGGTGGCACATGCCTGTAGTCCCAGCTACTTGGGAGGCTGAGGTAAGAGGATGTTTGAGCCCTGGAGTCCCAGGCTGCAGCGAGTTATGATTGCACCACTGCATTCCAGCCTGGGTAAGAGAGTGATATCCTGTCTCAAAAAATAATAATAATAAACAATATAACATTAACTACAATAATAAATTGTTTTTTGTAATGGTTAAACTAAAATTATTCCAGAATCAAACCAAACTCTGTTTACATTCTAGTGAATTAATATTTCAGGAAGAGAAAAGTGATTATTTATATAACTGCCTTAATAAACAAATGGAGTATGAAAATCAAAAACACATTCATGTTAGTATCTTTAGAATTTAATAACCACTCATCATAACAATGAAATGATGATGATTGCTGCAAGGTTTTATTCAAGATTCGTAGGATGTTTTTGACTACCCTTGAATGTGGGTTATCATGCTTAAAGAGGAAAAGGCATAAAAAGTCACGATATGCAATTCAGTAATAAAAAATAAACATTTAAAAATCTTACCTATTCAAGCTTTTGTTCATTTTGATGAGATTATCCAATTCTTCACTTTGGAAAGAGAAAAAACGTTTAACGTTAGTAAAAAGCTTGCCCAGGGTCCAAGGGTAAATATGCCTTAAAATAACTGAGTTCTCTGAAATACAACACATCTCACTTTCATCATCTGCAAAAATCCTGATGATCCTCAAAGCTCTCCTCCAACACCACTTTCTCCAGAAAGCCTTTCCTAGTCCTCTAACTGAACAGGGTCTTCTACATTTTTTGAGCCCTTGCAGCATGTGTTTTTCTGCACCTCCTCTATGGAAATTCTGTTGCTATACTTTGAGTTACAGCCATTGCACACTGGTCTCACGTTAATGCCCCTACCACTGCACAGGCACACGTACGCACACCACTTAAAATTTAGAACTGCTGGCTGGGCGCAGTGGCTCATGCCTGTAATCCCAGCACTTTGGGAGTCCAAGATGGGCAGATCGTGCGGCCAAGAGATCAAGACCATCCTGGCCAACATGGTGAAACCCCATCTCTACTAAAAATAGAAAAATTAGCTGGGCATGGTGGCATGTGCCTGTAGTCCCAGCTATTTGGGAGGCTGAGGCAGGAGAATTGCTTGAACCCAGGAAGTGGAGGTTGCAGTGAGCTGAGATTTTTGCCACTGCACTCCAGCCTGGGCAACAGAGCAAGACACTATCTCAAAAAAAAAAAAAAAATTAGAACTGTATTTTATATCAGACACACTTTCGTTTTTAATACAGATCTTTCATACACTAGGTGCTTAATACCCACTGTTAACTGAATCCACATATAGGTACATTTATTAATTATAGCATTGCACAATGTACTTCCACACTTAGATTCTAGAAAACATTTGTTCATCAGTAAGTCTGGCTTCCTTCTTGAGTTCTGCGACTTCATTTCCAGGTCAGCTAAATTTGCTGTCCTGCTTCCACATTTGAGAACTGCAAAACCCTTTCTGGCTGCTGCTTCAGGAGCAACCTATTTAAACTAAATGCTTAGGTTCAAGAATTCTCTTTAAACACATGGGCTCTACTTTCTTCCCAAATTGGGCAGCCTAGGTGAGGTGGGATGAGGGTTTCACCACAGTGCTATTGGTGTCTTCCTCTAGTTCCCTGTCACAGCATGTCCTTTCTCTAACTGTCCTATTCATGACCCCCTCTCCATACACACACCTTACCCCACCTCTCTTGCATTCCTCAGCAAGTTTTTCTGTTCACAGATCTTGGTTCTTCCTCCTTCCTGTTCTAAAATCACACTCTGCCAAGCTTTCCTAATCTTTTTCTTCTTGAGTCATTTCTGGTGTTGACCAAGGGGCTGTAAGACCCAGTAACTCAGTAGTTATGCATTCAACCTTCCTTGTTAAGAACACATGGAGTATGATCCAGGATTTATCACTTATTCATTGGTTAAACATGGATGAGTTACCTAACCTTCTGTGGACTCAATTTTCCTATTTGTAATATGAGAATACTAATTGTATCCACCCTAGAAAAGATTCAATAAGCTCATGAATATAAAGGACTTAGTATGATGCCTGGCAAGTCACAAATTCTCGATTAATTTGGGCCATTTAATAATTAATGCCCTGTCGATACTTGCTATACTTTTTTATTTAAGAAAAAAAGAAAGTTTTTTCACTCTCGTTGCCCAAGCTGGAGTGCAATGGTATCATCTTGGCTCACTGCAACCTCTGCCTCCCAGGTACAAGTGATTCTCCTGCTCCAGCCTCCCCCAAGTAGCTGGGATTACAGGTGTGTGCCACCACACCCAACAAATCTTTGTATTTTTAGTAGAGATGGAGTTTTACCATATTGGCCAAACTGGTGTCAAACTCCATACCTCAGGTGATCTGCTCGCCTCAGCCTTCCAAAGGGCCGAGATCACAAGTGTGAATCACCACGCTCAGCATAATAAATGCTTGCTATACTCATTTTTTATTGCACTCAGAAACACCAAGACTTCGACTTAGGCTTTAAAGACGTGCAGTGGCTGGGTCACTTATGTGGTGGAAGATGCCCAGCATGATGGCAGTATGGCAAGAATAGCTACTGAGGACAGTCCTCTCAGAGACCCTAAATTAACAGCCAGTACATAGATTAATCCTTTCAAGCAATTTTAGGTATCAGTGGTAGAATTGATGCCTGAGAATAAATACTGAAATACAAAAGTTGATATCTCTGACCAAAAAAAAAAAAAAAAGAAAAAAGAAAAAGAAAAAGAAAAATGACTAATGCTCTATCCCTGTGTGTGACAAAGATAAACACTACCCAGTCCCTCAGTACAGTGACCTCATTATTGTTTCTTGCTGGAAATTCTACCTGGTAACTCTGAGACCAACAATCTGTTCATGTCCCCAAGGAAAAGAGCAAACCCACGAGTCCTATAAATTTTAGTCCCAGACTTTTCTGACTGGCATGAGTCACAATGATGAGATTATCAAGATCTGGAGTTGCTTTATCCAAAGAAAATTGGCATACATCATGAGAAGACACTCTGTGGCAAATTAAATAAAATGGATACTGTGTTCCAAATAAAAATCTTGAGCTTTCAAAATGACTTCACATTGATGAAAGCTTTCGATATTAAGTTTCTCCACTTCATTTGTAACAAATGAAATGCTCTTAATCAGATAGCAGTAACATTCCATTTCACAAAGAGCAGCTCAGATAACTAACACCATTTCTACTCCCTGTGGATGGCCCAAAGTAATGATACTCTATGAGGACAACCATGAACATTTTTCCTGATCCTTGTCAAGCAGCAACTTCTCTCTGTGATGAATGTAACTGGCTGTGGAATTTGTGCATTATGGCTAGGGAGCAGGGACAGGAAAGTTAAACTAACTGCCTCTCTCATATTTTTTATTTGATTTACACCAAACAATAATTTCCCTTCAGAGCCACTCACGTATCTGTTTCTCAGACATCGCCATCACCCACCAAACCACTGTCTAATATCTATTGGAAACAAAAAATATTACCTGCAACAAAAATAAATCAATAAAATTAGAGACCTAGACACTTCAATGAGAGAAGACATGGAAATGAAACCTTCAGGACAATTTCTATAGACTCTGTCTGGATTCAGAGCTATTTTGTTTATGAATTTGCTCAGAAAAGCCAAGTGTCACATTTTTTTCTCTTCAGTTCTTTTGACAGCGACTAACCTCTAGCAACATTCTTAGCATTACTAAAATCAATTAAACGAGGAATATTTTTGGGAGTTTTGGATTTAAACAATGAAATATTATGATTATAACATAATCTATTAAACACCTACGATGTACAAAGCATCATGTCTCACACTGTAAATGGTAAATAAGATAAAATATCTGCCCTGATAGATTATAGAGATGATTGAGAAGGTAACACACTTACACAAATAACAGGAAACACAGCTGAGTATGATTCCATCTTACAAAATATGAATAGTGCAATTCTAATTGCTTACAGAGGCAGAAGTCACATCTCCCTGGATCACTCAGGGAAGACAACAGAGGAGGTGCCACTTGATCTGGATTTTGAACAATTGGCAGGGCTTGGATGGACAGGCATGTTGGTTTGGGGCTGAAAAAGGCCACCATGTGGTATGAACAAAGGCAGAATATCTAGAAACTGCAGAGAGAAAATGGTTTTTCTTAATATGAATGTAGGATAAATATGGTGTGAAAACAGAAGTTGCTGGAATGTGAGGCCACAGCCAGGTGAGCAAGGGCTTTAAATGAGGTTATAGGCCCTTGAATGGGCAATGACAATCTGGCTCAGTGATTGAGCAGAATCTTGGGAAAAATTATGGTATTGATGGGTAATAATAGTTTAGTGGAAGAAAATCCTGAAGTGTTCCAGTAAAGCTGGGTAGCTACTTTAATAATCTGTGCAGGAGTCGATGAGGGTTCAAACTAGGGGAAGTCTGTGTATACATGAGGGACATTTTAGATGTTTAATTCATGCATGCACGATACTATCTAGAAGGAAGAATCAAGAATTGTTCCAGAAAAGTGAGTCTGCAGGAATGCAAGAACAGAGAATTCAGGAACAGTACATTTGGGAAAGAATTTGGATATGACCTTGGACATCCTGAGCAGGGGTGCTGGGAGATACGTAGAGATCTGGACCAGCAACATAAATACAGGACTAGATATTTGGAATGAGGCTTGACAGCTGAGGTCACTGGGTGGGTAAAATCACGAGAAAAAGCGGCAGTGTTGAAAGACTGTCCATAAATGTCGGCACCATCCACCACTCAGGAGTACTTGTCTAGAGAAACTGATTCTTTCTTATTTTAAATTATATACAATATACAGCACTAGGATTTTGCTCACATTTGGAACTTTTAAAGGTATGGTTAAGCATTTTTGAAACATAAGAGAAGATCAAACCAAGCTCAAAAGCTCTGAGAGCTCACCCTTTGTCAGTTCTCTGAAGTGAAGTGGCCACTTTGAGGATGTTATCAAGATCCTGACTCCTTCAAACAATGAAAAATAAATACAGGTCAATGATAGCAGAGCTACTTTTGAAGGAACTAACATTTCTTATTTGTTTTCAGTAAATAAATAAATAGTGTAGGTGGTGTTCAGGAATTAGTTCAACAGAATGACAAAATGGTTCTATTTTGTCAGCTCATGACACACAGGGACATGCACATCCCCACATCCCTCATTCTCACACACACACACATGCACATGCACACACACACACAGACACATACACACTCACACACAAGCACACATGCACAGACATACACACAGACACACACACGCATACACACACACAGACACACACGCACACACACACAGACACACACACACACATGCACGTGCGCGCACACACACACACACACACACTCCACTCTGTTATTCCACCTGGGTGTTGGCTGTGCCATCTAGTGCTCACTGAAATAACTACATTTTCTCCTGAGGACTTGTATTGTCAGCTCCCAGGTTCTAAGTCACAAAAAGGACATAAAAAAACAAAATCCATTTAACTAACAGGTAAACACAGAAGTGAATCCAAAAGGTTTTCTACCAGAGCTAAGAAGCATTAAGCAACAGATACAATTAATTATTCCTTTTCACCCTAAAGGGGTGAAAGTATTTGTCCTCTCAGACTCTAGAATAGGTGGAAGCATCTGAGACGTAGAGGGCTCAGATCAATGCTGATATCCCCCAATCATAAAAGAAATAATTAGGAAAATTCTTATAGTAATTAAGAACTGTGAGCTGGGCATGGTGGTTCACACCTGTAATCCCAGAACCTTGGGAGGCCTAGGAGGGAGAATCCCTTGAGGCCAGAGGTTCAAGATTAGCCTGGGCAACAAAGGGAGATCCCTATCTCTATAAACAAATTTTCTTTTAAATTATCTGGATGTGGTGGCCTGTTCCCATAGTCCCAGCTACTCAGGAGGCTGAGGCAGGAGGATCTCCTGAGCCCAGGATTTTGAGGTTGCAGTGGACTATAATTTCTCTGCTGTACTCCAGCCTGGGTGACAGAGCAAGATCCTGTCCAAAAAAAAAACACTCAGCATCTCATATAAGGTTAATACAGTTCCATGAAGAACGGATTTTGTAGCCAAATATTTAGGAAATATAACATACTTTTGCTGATTTGGAATATACATAAGCATACTAAGGTTCTGAAAAGAACTATGGCAGAAAACTCTATTTAATTGTGTTTTCTAAATGCAGTGAGACACTGAATTATTCCAGAACATGCATTGACATCTTGTGGTACATGGAACACAAGCTGGGGAATGACAAGAGTGATGCTGTCAGTTCCTCAGGACAAGAGAAGCATGACTTTCTCCAAAGAAAAGAACCCATGTCACATGTCTTTTGGAATGAGACTCTTTTGATAGTCAAATGGGGATAACACAAAAAATGAAAAGCTTATTTAAATTTCAAAATAATTTTTTCAGTCACAAAAATATTTTGACTTAAAAATTAGTTTATCATATTGATAGACCTATAAAATAGCACTATTTAAATCTGTTTTCAAAAAATAGTATCTTTTCTTTAAAAAAAAAAGTGAGAAAAACAAGATATATCCAGAACAAATGCCAGACGAAATAGGATGTGCAAGACAACAAGCATAAATCAGGACTCTCATGGGGAAACACCACATTTGGGGATTGCTACCTTACCCGCAAGATACTTGGAGAATGTCCCTTTACCAAATGGCATCAATGTGCTTCTTCCTGATGCTGCAGGAGAGGCTAGACATGCCTATGTTCAGTCAATACTAGACAAAGTTTTTGTAGCGCAGATTCAACTGCACAACTGTATTTCCACCTCTTTATTTATACATCCACATCAACTATAGCATGGACCTCAGAGCAGGGGCTGGGAATAAAGAGGGAGCAAGCTCTCCTGCCTTTAGTGGGTTTACCTTATCCTGTTATCTTGTTCACACCATTTTGGTAGTTTTATTTCATTTTGTTTCATTTTGGTTTTTAGATAGGCTGGAGTGTAGTACAGTGGTGCAACCTCAGGTCACTGCAACCTCTGTCTCCTGATTTCAGGCAATTCCCCTGCCTTAGCCTCCCAACTAGCTGAGATTACAGGAGCGTGCCACCATGTCAGGCTAATTTTTTGTATTTTAGTAGAGACAGGGTTTCACCATGGCCAGGATGGTCTCAATCTGACCTCGTGATCCATCTGCCTTGGCCTTCCAAAGTGCTGGGATTACAGGGATGAGCTACCACGCCTGGCCTGGTGGTTTTCTTAATGGAAAGCTTGGGATAGAATTAACAGGAACAAAATTCTGTAAGTGCCTATAAAAACATTTATCACTATGTTGGAGTCAGTTGGAAAATTGATTTTGTCTAACTTATTATTAATTGCCTTGTATTTTTAAATGTGCTGAGAAAGCATACTTTATTCATTGCTACAGTTACATGGATATAGATAGAAATCACTGTACCTTATATGTCTTTCAGCAGATCTTTTGGTTTCTGTATATACACCCGGTTTAGGTGGATACATCTGCCTATATTTTGAAAGTTAAAGATAATATCAGTCAGAAAAGAAAACACTTTTTGAATAAATTTAAAATTATTTTTAAAAATTTCTATGCAAAAAGATCAATGCTTGTTGGAACCATACCACTAGCTGAGACAACAAACTTAAACTCTTTCTTTAGGTTGACAGAAACTCTAGTATACTAAATTAGTAATTAAGTCTATCTTTATTGCACATTTATAAACCACTGGATATTTCTAGACTTATAAGTTCTAAATATGTTCATGTTGATTTCTTTGTTCTCCATCAATAAAGCATTTTCATATTAATTTCTATTAGATAATTATAAAATATTTTAAAATATGAATTTTTGTTATGGGCATCAAAGGTATATATTTTCTTGAAGAGTTAGCCCACTTAAATACTATCCAGAAATATATTTGCTCATATAAGGTGGAGAAAAAGTCTACATTTCAAGTGTACCTACAACATTGGGAATGACCATGCTAAGCTGACAGAATTAAATTTTATTACGTTAGGTTCTGACACAAGTTAAGACTTTACTCTTTTTTAAAGTATCTGGTTGACCCACTTATACATTCCTACTTGTTCTCAAGAAGCTATTTTCAACTATTTTTTTGTACTCCTGAGGACACGTGTTAATTACATAGGAAACACTTCCCTTTCATATTCTTTCATTAAAATCATCTTGCTGTGATTAAAGTAGTCAGGATGTTTAAAAAAACATGCGAGTTGTCCCAATTTTATTTTTTAGATCATTGGTGGAATAAAGAAATTTGAGTAGTAAGTCCTGTGAAATTTAGCTTCCTTTAAATTTAAACAAGCGTGTAGCTCTAGTGACACCGATTTTAGATTAGAATGTCAGTGGTACTACGGCCAATCAATGTTAGCCCCTTAAAAAATTCTATTCAAATTGAAATTTAATTGCCCAATACAGTTAAAGGAAAAAATAATGTAAGATTTAAAAGCTTGAGAAGATATTTTTAAGAGATAATTATAACCATCATACAAATAAAAAGTTATAAATCTGATCTATATTTTTAATGAGTTCAGTGAAAAAATATTCTTTTGACTCAATTTTTAAAAATGCTCTCATTCTAAGGACAAAATTTCAAAGATCCTGTGCAGTTTCACTGAACAGAAATTCAAACCTGGATTTTTAACACCCATTGCTACATAGTCCTGCTTCCCTGTCAGAACTTTCTAACTGAAGTTTACGCTCTTGCTGAAGAATATTTCTATAATTGTGTCTACTGAAGAATAGTTCTATAGTTTTGTCTTATTAAAGAATAGTTCCATAATTGTGTCTTACATGGTGTCAAAAAAGTCACCATCAAAGAACAAAAATACAAAAGAAGCAATGGTAGGCAATCAAGCAGATCTAATGTAGTCAATCTTCATTGAGTTACCATTTTTTAATCTCACAATAATAATGGAAATGTGGATGTACATCTTGAAAAATTGTTCAAGATATATTAAACAGTTTAAATATAACACATGGGAAGTGTTTCAGATCTCTGAATTTATTTCCAAGTATTAATTATAGAGTGACAGAGATTCAAAGCTGAGAAGAAAGTATATTTTTCTGGATTCAGTGACAAGTTATGTGATAGTTTTGAAATAAATTACAAATCCCTTTGCTTAAAAAGATTAAAGAACCACCCAAAGGTATTTCTAACATAAGCAAGGATTTGAGTGGTAACACAAAGTTTTAAGAACATCTTTCATCAGAATAGGTACCTCTTAGTGGGAAACTTAACTTGGAACAAACATGAACAAAAAATTTAGTTTTAATAGGGTTTATATTTATATTATATATAATATATGCCAAATATGTATATATATATATTTATATCTGTATATTAGGAGCTAATAAATAAAAATCCTGTGTGCAAACACTGTCTGAACATGAATATTGTTCCATTTTTATCTTGAAGGCATATTTCCTTCAGACAAGTTAACCATTAATATTCAAAGGCAAATATAAATACACCTATGAGTTAGAAAAAGTTCTACAGGCACTTCTTTAGGGAATGTGCACACAAAACATCCATGCTTTGCACAGAGCAGGTCACAGTCCATTTATTTTCATTTCCCTTGAACTTCATTTTGGCAAGAAATTCTGGAATACCAGGTCTTACCTATTATCCCCTCTCGGCTGGTTAGGAGAAGAAACAGGAGAACTGGGCTTTGGAGGTATTGGAGGGTGAAAACCTGGTTCCCTTTAAAACAGAAAACAGCAGTTCATTTCACCATGGAAACATGGTAAATGTGAGCATCTATGAACTGAATGCATTTATTGCCTACATAGAAATATGCTTTGTGTCTTACAATCCCCATGAGCGAGGTACCTGAAAGGTCAGAATCCATGGAACACTAAGAAGTCAAATATTTAAAATATGTGTATTTTAAATGCTTTTATTTAATCAGATTCTTGAAAACCCTATCCTCTTTCACTATAGTTTGAACTACACTATGTTCTTTAAATAGCTCAATATTTTAATAGTATGTCTAGCTCAAGTCATAGCATTTTGGGTCAGCAGTGCATGAGAACTGTAAATGGTTCTTAAGTATTAACATATAAGCTTCTTTGGGAATCATGTCAACTATCAGGCTGCTAGAGAAACAGCAAGAAAAGGTTTTAATTTCAGGGACCTCAAGGTAGCACTGATTTGAAGCTCTTAACTAAATCTGACTTAAATATTGTCAGCACAGGCCAGCTTGACGCTGACAAAGCATATATATAATCTACTGTCAGCCTAAACTTTCCAATGAAGCACCAAAGGAGCCTCTGAGTTGGCAGGACTTAGTGAACTAGGAACTGGAGATGGGCAATTATGTGCACATTTTGGATGTAGTCAGCACCTTACTAAGGGAATGTCACCCCGCCATGCTCCCCACCACCACCAGCCCAGCAGTTCTCTATGTGTTCTCAACAGAAACTCTGTACCTAGTGAAAGAACCCTGTGATCCTGTGTACCCTTCTGGCTTCTGTAGGAAGGTAGGTAGGCATGTGGCCTGGAGTCAGGCTGCCTGAATTGCCAGCTGTGTGGTAATGGGTTAACTTGATTCTGTTTCTTCATCTGTAATAATCCTTCTAACAGGATTGTTTGGGTATTGTCAGGACTGAATGAGATTGTGTTTTTTATTCAACAAACATTTATTGGTAGCTTTCTATACACAAGGCTCTCTGTGAGCTGCATACTGTCCTTGTTCTCAAAGGCTTCCAATATACAATTAAATATATATCAGAAGGAGAAAACGGCTGTACAAATAATAATAATAACAATAAAACAGAATAAGGAGATATAGACTGATGGGGTGGGAACACTATTTTATTTAGAATGGCCTGGGAAGGCCTCTCTGTCAGGTGAAATTTGAACCAAGACCTATAGGAAGTAATAGAGTAAGCCGTAAGCTATCTGGAGAAAAAGCATATAAATACAGGCATCATTAGCTTAGAGATGGTATTTAACGCTTGAAACTGGTAGAGATCACTAAGGGAGTCAATGTAAGCAGAGACAAAAAGAGGGCCAGGGGTTGGACCCTCAATCCCTGCAATATTTAGAGGTCAAGAATATGAGGTGAAAACAGCAAAAGAATCAGGAGGAGTGGCCAAGGAGAAAACAAGAGTATTAGGAGGGCGTGGTATCTCAGAAGCCAAGTGAGAAAAGTTTCAAGGAAGGAGTAATTGGCCATTTCAAATGCTACCGTTAATCAAACAAAAGCAAGGACTGGGAAATTACCATGGTTTAGGCAACAGAGTGGTCTTTGGTAACCCTGATAAGAGCAGTTTTGGTGGGACAATGGTGGGGAAAAATTATAGGCGTGGATTTAGGTAAAAATGTAAAGCAAGGAAGTAGAGGCATTGAGGCAGTTTGGCAGTGAAGAAGGAAGAGGGGAATGGGTAGCTACTTTGAGGTTGATGGATTGAGGAAGGCTACTACAGTATGCAGATACGATGATGGGAATGACCCAGCGAATCACTGACACAGGAGAGTGAGGGGAAATCACTAGACAGATGTCTTTGAGAATTGATGGGACCTAAGGCATGGTGGGTGGTCAATCTTAGATGGAAGTACAGAGGGCTCATTCACAGCAGCAAGAGGGAGAGAACCAGATGGGTATAGCTGAGGTATGTTCATTGACTCAGAGTGGAGAAAGTTCTCTTTTGTTTACTTCTATTTTCTCAGTAAAATAATAATCAAGATCATTGAGTCAAAGTGAGAAGGTTGAACAGGGGTTAGGGCTGAGGGAGAGAAAATGTGTGAAATGGTTTTCTAGGAAAGCAGAAGAGTAAGTGGACCAGGAAATGTAATAATAATAATAATAAGATGATGATGATGATGATGATGATGATGATGATGATGATGATGTTCCATTATATGAGATCATTATGTGCCAGAAACTTTTCTGAGCACTTTACATATATCAACTAATGTAATCCTCACCGAAATCCCAGATAAGTATTATTATTCTTCCCAATTCACAGATTAAACCACCGAAGCGAATAACATAAAAGTAAATATCTCATGATGGTACAGCCCATAAGGGGCAGAGCTGGGAATCTGAACCGGGAATCAGGCTGCATAAACCCTCCACGTGCTCTGCCGCCTCTTGAAGATCCTTGGGCCATACCAACAGCTTAGTTCAGGTTAGTATTCATGGGCTTAAAGTCAGGTTATCTGGCATTGTTTTCTCCTGCCATATTTAGCTGTTTGGGGAGAAGGAACAGAATAGACTGAGAGTTGGATTTACCATTAGCCACATTTACAATTCAGCCAAGTGAGTGCAATGAAGAGAATGACTGCAAGGGAGTGGATGGGGTCTGCAAGGAAGGGGTTACCATGGGGGCTGTGGAGTTTGAGATGGGCATGGAAGGAAACGAGAATATGAGTGGTGGGGACTGTGAAAAAACTGGTAGAATTAATGGGCTGGTGATGGTGGTGGGGCTGAGGAATTCCTGGAATCAAAGGACTGAAGGGAGTGAGCTGGACAGATAGAAAGCAGGAGCCAAAGAAGAAAAGCTTTGAAATAGAAGTTTTGTGATATTGTAGGGTATATGGTTAATTACAGGGCAAGATCTATCAATGGCTGCAGTAGTGGGAAGGACAAGATCATCGGGGAGAAGGTCATGAAAGTGAGAGGCCGGGGAGAGGAAGGATCCTCTGCATGGATTTTGAAATCACCAAGCATTATGGCAGGAGGAAGGTTTGTAAAAGACAGTGAGTCTGGTCCTGAAGTCTTCAAAGAATGAGTGTGAGTGTCTCAGAGACCTTGAGATGACTCCAACGAAGAAGAGAAGCTCATGAGGGCATGGCTTCAAAGGAGATGGGGAGTTTCAGGGAGAAGAGAGTTAAAATTAACAGGAAGTGGTGATGAGAAGCAAACGAGACCTCCACCTTCCACCAGACCCTGTGATATGTCAGTTAGGGGGAAAATAGCCCTTGCTGAGAGAGAGGCTGTGGAACCAGGGTCCTCTGGAAGAGCCTAACAAAAAGGTGGGAGATCATTCAGAGGGGATGCTGAGGAGTGGAGGATTTTGGCAATGACAAATGACAAACTCATCAAGGTGGACTGGCAGGATTTGAGAGCTCAGTGTGATATTAGGTTGAGTCAGGTTCAGGGAGGTACAGAGCTCTGTGTGGATGGTCCAGGCAATAAGAAATGACCTGACTAGGGTTTTGATGACAGTCTATGGACATAGGGATGGGGACATGATGGAATGAGTCCTGAAGACCCCTCAGCAGAGTGGTGGTGAGGCCCTGGGTGATGGGCAGTGGAGCACCAAGCATGGTGGGTCTCTTGGCTCTTAAGCTGATGGTGACATTGAAGCCCGAAGAGGGTGTGCACTGCCTGGCTTCCCCACAGGAAATAGTGTCTTTTGCTGTAGTGGTTGCTGTTTTCACCCCACATGACCCCAGGGCTGCAGATGTGACAAACTCTTGCCCTTCCTAACACACCCCACCATATTCTCTCCCTGCTATGGAGCACCTCCTTCGTCTCTTCACCTGGAAATTCTCTCCTTGCCCTTCAGACTTTGGCTTAGGAGTAACCATCTTCAGTGATATCCAAAGCCGTACTAGGTACATCCCTACATTCCCCAATAACAACCCTATTCATAGCACATATCACACTATTCTGGACTACACATGATATTCTGTTCCCACACTGGACTCAAAGTTCCTAAAAGGACAGCTATATCCCAAGTACTAGGATTGTGTATGACATAAGAATGAAGGAGAAAGTGATTGGCTGAATTTCTCTTTGGCAGGGAGGAAATGGGTAACAAAGAGGGATTGGCAATTTTCAAAATCTGTGCAAGCTTAGCTTCCTTATAGGAGAAATCCACTGTCAATCCCATTACAGAACACCTAGTAGGTGCCAGGTACTTGGCTAAGTTATTGTGTTGTGTGATATTTCTGGAAGAGCAATTTATGTCAAAATAATCTCCTCATCCTGGCTTAGTGGCATATTCCACAGGATTTGGTTTGTATTGCCACTGTCTTCTTTTCTCAGAAATTATCCTTGTGTTGGGTATATGTACCACATGACAGTCTTTAGTGTATCTCCGTGGATTTATTGGTTACATGTGTTCCTTCCAGAGGCAGAGGAAAGGGAGAAGGAGGTGGTCAGTCCTGGATAATAATGAAGCTGTGCAGAACCCTAGATGTCTGAGGACAGGTGAGAAAGAAGTAACAAGGTGAAAAGGATTACAAAAAGTAGAAATGGGATGGTGCCAAGCTTTACTTATGCTAGAATCATGTTAATGACATACTGAATTTCTTCAATTTTGGAATGTCTAGGGCCTCAAAGAGGTACGTAAATATGGATCGGGTGGATCAGAAAATAGAGATGAATAGAAGTAGATCTGAGATGGTCCGGAGAATACACAGGAAAGAGAAAGATGAATGTGCGGTTATGAAGGCCAAGAAAAGCAGAGAAGCACGTTTATTTCCGAGGGTGATGCATTTACACCCCTGCTGGGCCAGGAGCCAGGCGATGCCATGTTGACTTCCATTTACCTCAAAGGAGCTTTCATTTGCATCTCTGCAATGACAGCCACAGATGACAGAACTCAAGCCCTGGGGTGGGGCGGGCAATGAGAAGACTCATTCATGTCATGCCAGGAGCATGATGTGATGCCAAGCAGGGGGATTCAAATGCAAGAGTGAGGCAGGAAGCTGCGGCCAGAATGTTTTCAAGAGAAGGAAACAAGAGA